TCCTGGTTTTGACGCAGGGCCAAAAACTTAGGGCAGAACTTGTAGGATATGAGCTACGAAGCCAATCCTCTGTGCTAGAGCTGAACTTCGTCAGCCGATTTCAAACCAGAAGGTGCGTTTCGATGTCCGAAATTAAGGAAGTACGCCTAAAAACTCATCATCAAGGAAGTGAAAATTGGCATATATCATCCATTCACACTTCTGCTAAGACTGGTGAGGAGCAGTACATGGATTTGACAAGTGATCCACACCTCAACAAGTGGCTTAGAGAGTACAATTCGAAAGAAATCAATCTAGAATGGGTACATCAAGAGACTTTAACCTGTGAATACGGAAATCCATCGTGCAAATGCATGGCACACGCAGAAATTTGTAAATTTTATCTTGAAGTTGACGAAGTTCGAACCTTCACGAGCTATCAAAAGTTGTCGGTCGATGAACCAACAGGAATAGCTTTGCGAGGAGCCGAGGGAGTGAGCTATTATTTCGATAAAAATGGAATACGTTTGCCACTGCAATCTAATAGAACATGTTCAACATTGGACCCGGACAAATGTACTTATCCCCAGTTTGTAGATGGTAAAACGTACCGTATGGCAATATCCATCAATGGACTAATTCCTGGACCTACCTTAATAGTTTATGAAGGGCAAAAGGTTATTATTCATGTTCACAACAATCTCACTACTGAAGGTATTTCAATTCACTGGCATGGAATGCATCAGAGAGGAACACCTTGGATGGATGGTGTGGGGCAAGTCACTCAATGTCAAATAGGACCATCATCAAGCTTTTCATACGAGTACACTGCTAGTCCTTCTGGAACGTTTTGGTACCACTCTCACAGTGGCGCACAAAGAACAGATGGCATCTATGGAGCACTTGTAGTCCAAGAAAATGAAACAAGGTTGAACCAAATCCGAACAGAACTGAACGCTAACTTTCAAGATCTTCCAGATCAACACACCTTAACGCTTCTAGACTGGCAAGGGGAGGCATCTTTGGACCTGTTCACACAGAGCCAAGCAGGCTTGGGCTTTTATCCAGACCAACCATATGGCGAAGTACCTACTCCGTCTGATCAAAGGTATGCTAGTACACGTAGTTTTGACAACGGCGGGGCTGGACCTATCCCCTACTTTTCTGGAATCATAAATGGCAAAGGCAGACATGTTGATGTTCCATACAATAAAACAAGACTGAGTATATTCACTGTTGAGTCCGGAAAGATATATCGCTTTCGACTCGTAGGAGCCCAAGGGCTTTATTCTTACAGCTTTTCCATTGATGGTCATAAACTGATTGTGGTCGGCACTGACGGCTATTGGATTGAACCCGAAAAAGAGGTTGATTACATCATGATCCATCCCGGAGAGAGATATGACTTTCTACTCAATGCAACAGAGACAAGTAAAGACTACTGGATTCGTGCAGAGACTATGGAGATTAATCAAAATGGCCAAGGGCCCCCTTACGAGTCACTAGGACATGTGGCAGAAGCTATTTTGCACTACAATCAGGATGGAGAGTCGCCCGATCCAGATGCCGATGTACCGTCGCATAGATATGAAGAAATCAAAAACAGTTCCACTCTCAGAGTGTGCACCAAGGAAAATCCATGCAAAGCAGTGAACTGCCCATTTCAGAAGTTCCATTCTTCATACAACATTACCTGTACTAATGTAGACGAGCTGCGTTTACTTGAGCCAACTCCACCTGGGGAACTTCCAAATGCAAACCCTAACAGCCAATGCCGAAATTGTACTCATTTCATCAATTTTAGTTTTGAAGGTGGATCTCAAACTAGTTCAGTGAACGGGCGAAATTTTATTCTTCCTTCCTTTCCACCCCTAACCCAATATAACGATTTTCGAAAAAAAGACACGATCTGTAACCTTACGGCTGACTGCAATCCATCGACACTCGAGTGCTCATGTGTGATGGTGATAGACATTCCATATAACGAAACTGTTCAATTGGTGTTTTCATCAATGGGTGCTTTTCTTAGTGCTCATCCAATTCATCTCCATGGCCATACGTTTCATGTTGTTGCCGTTGGATATCCCGAGTATGACAACATCACTGGTTTTGTTAAAAAACGCAACAGTGATATATCCTGCGCTGATGTTAACTGCACTAAAGAAGGGTGTGTGAACGAAAGTTGTACCAGACCAAGCTGGAAGACAGAGCCAATGAATTTTGACATCAATAACCGCACGATCAGAAAGGACACAGTAATGGTCCCTGCTGGCGGCTACGTTGTCATCAATTTTCTTTCTGATAATCCAGGCCAGTGGTTTCTTCACTGTCACAAAGAATTGCACCAACTTGAGGGAATGGCACTAATTGTCAATGAGGCTTTGGAGGAGCAGCCCAACCCACCCGACGGCCTGAACAAGTGTGGAGACGTTGATATGAGTTATAATGAGACTAGTTCGAGGGAATAACCCTGATTGTTAATGAGGATTTGCAACGCAACTTGCAATTGAAAGCACCCGATGGCATGAACAAGTGTGGACAATTTGAGATAAGTCATAATAAAACTCAATCATAATTGTCAATCACAAAGCTGAGACATTCAAAACTGTTTGAAAAAGGATAGGTCCCGACATTCTTAGAAGCTATTAACCTCAACAAAACTACTACTTGAAAAAAGAATCCTGCTAAGACCCATAATTAAGTCAATTTTTACATTAGAGTGGGTCAAATCGAATACTCGGTAACAAGTGGGAAGTGTTTTTTGTATTCTTAGGCTGTACGGGATTGTTTCATAACTTTTTAATCACCAACTCGGTTATACGTGCATTTTTTGAATTTAAAACTAAGTATGTTAGACTAGTGCGAGACAAATGTGGGACTAGTACTAGACTAGACAAGTGTGACATAATTTGTAAGTATTTTTTGTTTATATAGCCTTCGCTGAGTTATTACAACATTTTCCTTATGAGTATTATATCACCGACGTGATTTTTTGTGGATCTTTTAAGATCCAGAATTAAGTGTTTTACACTGAAGTGATTCAACTTGAGTACCCAGTAACAGTAGAATTTTTTAGCACCTGTAAGCTTTCCTGAAGTTTTTTTATCACCTCGTTACATTGACAATTTCTAGTACAAGGACTCGTAATAATTTAAGCGTCTGTTAAACTACACCATATGCTGTACGATCAAAGACAAATCATTTTGAAAGGTTAGATTCAGAGATACTCTGACACTTCATCAGTCAAATCTTAATCAATTTTTAATACAAATTAATTTCTCTTAGTTTTCAACGATAGAAAGTTTAACCCTTTAACTCCCAATATCTCCTTAGTAATTCTCCCTAATGTCTGCCATACAGTTCTTGTGATGTTAGTTTTGAGAATTTGGTATTGGATCAACTTATTATCCGAGCAAACCAGTGAGCGCGGCGAACGAGCGAGTTTTTCGATGTATCGCAACGAGAGATTAAAAATCGTTCTCGCGCACTTTCCATGGAATGATCTCTCTTTGGTTGATGGTAAAATAACTTTGATTCTTTCCGTCGTTTATGACAACTTGATGATTCCGGTTTGCCACGTAACCGAAGAAACAGGGAGAAATGGGAGTAAAGCTATTTCGGATCAATATTAGTATCTGGGCAACTGCCCACCTACCCCTCCCCTAATCCAACATTAACCCTAACTTGTTATCAATTGACTGTTGTTGAGTTAGGGGAGGGGTAGGTGGGTAGTTGCCTAGATACTGATATTGATCCTCTATTTCTTCATTGAGAGAGAAGAGTATTTCTAAAGATCTCATGTGCATGAGGTCACTTGAGAACTGAGAGGGATGAAAGGAAACGTAAAATAAGGATTTTCACATTTCAAAGATTGGAAGCGAACGACTGTGAAAATACATCGTTCGTCTATCAGAAACAAGAACGATAGCACTTGATACAAAGTATGTATGAACTAAAATCGATTTGTTCACGTTCCCTAGCAATAATAAGATTTTCAGGCACAAAGTTTCCGATGGATATCCCATTGCCTTCCACTTAAACCCTTGTTTCTTTCCTTTCCTGTCATTTCAAAAGAGACGGAAAAGAAATTCAGTTTGACACGAGAACGTATTCGGGATGATTAGCATCAATTTTAATTAACTCGCATTTACCGCCTCGTTCTAATTCAATTCATCAGCCTTGAGGTACTTAATACATGCAGCCCATAGGCTGAAGATGTACACATCGAAGTTGTGCACATTTTATGTGATAATCTGGATATTCTGTTGCACCTTTTGTTCTAACGTCGACGGCAAGATACAACCATGTAAGTTGAATATGTCGCTCTACTGATTGTGACATCAGTTGATTATCAAATGAGAGCGAAAATTGACGCTCGCTGTCTTGAATTTGCGTCGAGGTTTCCTTAGAACAAAGCGCGTGCTCGGTCTTGTTTGGCTTTTCCATCCAGAGATTTGATTACTTCGTCTCTCTTCTGGCTGTCATAAATTTCCTTGCTCATTAGTGAAGAGAAGTTGCGTTACATCAAGATAACACATTCTTGCTGGCATATTTCTGTTGTCTCAGTAGATAGCATACTTCATTTTATCTCTCAGTTAGTTCGTGCACTGTGACTGGTGAATCAAGCGGGCCGTATTTCACTGTGAGGCCCGCTAAGCTTAAAAGTTTCTTTCAATCGGAATCCTTCCTCTCCATTTGAACCCAGAGATACAACAAATATCTCACTTACCACATTTTCAGGGCACGGAACCTCCTTTTCCAGCTAAGATTCATGGCCCAAGCACGAAGAGCGGGTCTTACATCCCAGCGAAGTAACTCGGTCCGTAACTTGCAGTACGGACCGAGAAAATGAGGTTAGTAAGAGGTATGAAATACTGACGTGAGTTGAAGTTACTTCTAGGGGTTATAACTAGGGACTGCTGCACTGACTTTCCACGTTACAAGATACATAAAAAAAAATAGATCTGCAAAGAGTCCAAACCCAATCCATAAACATTTGCTTACAGTTAACAACTCCAAGATTGTTTCTGCGTTTGATTTATTCCATGACAAGACGCCGCCAACATGGGAACGAGGTCAAATCGTGGGTTACAGCCTTTTTTCTGCGATGGGAGAGGTACATTTCAAATCAGACTCCAGAGGAGATTTAACCATATTCAGGTCATGATAAGCCGTTATATAAAAATTCGAAAGAAAGTTTTTCCTGTAGCACACAAGTATTGCAAATCAAACCCAAAATTTTGACGTCGCTGCACAGGAGGCCGTATTCACCCCTGTGGTAATTGTATTTATTTAACTGTGTTTTTCCGTACGTCATCCATCTGGTGCTCTCGCGCTCGAGTAAGACTTTTCCTCAGCAAATTGTACCGAATTTTTCTGGATCCAGCTCCTCGCACATCAAATGAGAATTCCGAGGAAACATACGGAGCATTTGCTTGCTTTGTCTAAAGGAAAACCAAAATGAAAATTAGTAACGTTTGGTTAAAAGATCTTGAAACCGCACTTGCAACTTTAACTCTACGGCAGGCGTTGATAATCTATTTCGAGGAATTGAAGCGATGAACTCAAAGTTTGGGATCAAATTAATTCCTTGCAAACGCAGTTCCCCTAAACTAATCTTGCTTTTTGCAAATACTTTGAAAAAGCGATTAGGTCTCGCAATAAACTTTAACGTACCAAACTACCATTTCTAGAGTGCAAATAAAAAAAGAAGCTGATGTCATGTGAATGTAAAGAAGGAAAAAATAAAACGAGTGACTAATGTTGGGGCGACTTTGCAAGTAAGCGGCACAAAAAGATAGGCGTAGTAAGATACAAACCACCGCTCAGTATATCGTGAAGACAAGTTACCAGCGACAAAATAAGCGTAGCAGAAGAGTCATTGCTTAAACAAAGGCGGGGAAATGAGACATTTGTTTATCCATAAAGAACTCTAGAAAAATTATCGCCTTTACTCACCGACAACATAATTGCAGCGGGAATTTCGATGTTTCCTTTCAATAGAGCGTTCACTTGTTGAAGTCTATCTAATGGTAATGGTGTTAACACGTACAACAACTTCCGCGCAGGATCAATATTCCTCACGATTCCTATAACGGAATTAGACATCAGACCAACGGAAAAAACCACAAAATACAAAATGGCACAATGTGTAGTCTAGCTCTTGTTTCTCTTAATAACACGAAAAAATAGAAATCGAAAATGAAAAATTAGTCGAATGAATAATTTTTTTTCTCCCTTTATCTGCCAAGAGTGACCAAGAAAGAATTTCTCTTTACAATATCAATACAATATCAAACAGACAAGTGATAAGAATACAGAAAAACAACAACAAGGGGATTATTAGTTGATGCAATACCAAATTCTCCGAACTAACATCATGAGATGAGAATTGTATGGCAGACAGCGTGGAAAATTTGCTAAATACATCTTGGGAGTGAAAGGAGAACGAAATTCAGTCAAACTTTCCTATGAAGAAAATCATGATATCCCCAAGTATCATTTTTGCCTATTTTCCACAAGAGGACATTTTCACTGTGATGTTACCCTCGCATAGAGTTTTACAGAAAAGCCAATTAACTTCCAAGATCTCATCTTTAATTCTCCCCTCTTGCTTCTCCATATTTCCTTGTAAATTTGCTATAAGAATTTGGTGTTAGTTCAGGATAACAGCTTTTACCTGATACGTTTCAGTATTCTCGTCAACTCTTTACCGTACTATGTATTGATATAGCCTACGTGTAGCCGTACCCCCCCAACCCCCAGGTGAAACGGAAGCGAGGGAACGTCTCGGCAAACCTGACACTAATGTGTTCCGTGACGTCACTCTAATTTATGCAAAATAATGTCAATTGATACGAAGTGGCACGTGTTAGCGAAGGGTTATCGAGATAAACAAAAACATTGAAGTGAATTCATTTTCCATTTTTTGGGTAAATTTGCAATTCAGCGTCCGAGTTCAAATATATCCTTTGCTTTAAAGATATAAGGAAAGATTATGAGCGATTTTTGGATAGAGTAAGAAGAGGACGATGTTCGATTGGCACCGCGCTGACCAAACAAGATTTTAACGTCTACGCGGTTTCTGCTTTCATTTGTAAATAGTACCACGGTCGTCGAAAAAATTTCGATTATCTGTCGCTGAATCTCAAAGTTTTAACAGATTTCTATAAGAGATAGTTACGCTACAAGCGTAAAGAAAGAGCGACTCTTTTCTCGGTCGAAAGAATCGCCGAAAGAAACAGCTAGCTTTAATTTGATAGCCTCGCAGCACCGTTCGCAAAGAGACCGAAAGTTGAAGGCGGACAATCCTCTTGGCCCAAGTACATTGAGATAGTGCACCTGGTCTTCTGTGAGAGCTTTAACGGGCGGCACAATAAATATAGTGACCACTTTCATCTAGAGAAGGCAGGCGATCGATCACTGGCGCTGCTTGATGTATTAAAGATTTTCCATAGCAAGTTGGTAACGAAACGGAGACATCGTTACCTTCGAAAAACATTTCTGTGGCTTTCTGCTGTTCTTCTTGAAATGTCTCTATCCCAAAAGTCGCGCAAACTTGCCTTAAAACCTCGTCGTAGATCGCTGTTGTCTGAAAAGTTGACCATGAAAGCGTTTTGTTCACCAGTTCGTTAGTATGAAAATAAATTACCAAATCTAGCCAATCAGAATTGACGAAAGAATCTACAAAAGGGGTTAACCAATAAAAAGTCATTATATATTTTCTTTCAAAAGAGTGACGTCACGGAACATGATTAGTGTCAGGTTTGCGTAGACGTTGCCTCGCCTCCGTTTTCAACCTAAGCGGGGGGAGGGTACGGCTACACGTAGACTAGACTTGATATTATAGGGAGAAGTTACATGTTAGTCACTTCTGGGGGTTTAAAAGAATTTATGCCTACCAAGACCAATGCATTCTGCAACTGGACTTTTTTCCACGAAGTATGGTGTGTTATTATCATCCCCAATGCGGTGCATCTGAAAAAAAAAACAAGTTTGCCATCAGATTTTTTCCCTACAATATGGTTTTTTTTTTCGAGTGCCTATAAACAAGGCCACTTAACCTTGGGCAAATTACAGATGTAACATTTTTTGTATGCCGTAAGGAACGAGTTGAAAAATTTGTTGGCAAACTGGCAAAGGGGGGTGCGAACTCGCATCACTTTTGGGGGGCGAACTCGTAAACGTGATAGGGGGCGAATTTGCAATAGGGAGAAACCTACATAAACTTTACACTTTTATATCTTTCAACTCTAATCGGACTGCTGTTTCTCCAATCAAGCCGTCTTCAGTTGTTTGTAAAATAGTCATAATGAATTAAAATACAGAAGAGGAGCTATGTAATAACAACGTCTGGGAGTTAGGCGGCTTTCATTTTTATTATTTGCGGTATGAATGTACGGATTAAACTGTTTATGCATCGTACCTCGTCTGATTTCATCTTGGCCAGTCCCACAACACTCGCATTTATTGAGAACAGACTTTGATTCCAAGGAACCTATACGATGGAAATTGTAAAAAGTCAGTTAAGAAGGAATTTTCCATATCTGCTGGGACAGGAGAAAAGGAAGTTTTCGGTGCACATTTCTCCTTAAAATAATGTATCAAGATAGCTAACGCTGGGAAGCCTCACAGGGCAATCATCAGCATTTTGGTCTCGTAAGCTAGTTCAGAACCTAATTTATCCAACGATACAATGAGATCCATTTAGTTCAAAACAAACTATGACTAGTGAGAGATGATATTATTCAGTGAATGATACAGGTATACTCTGAGAAAAAGGACTCCAAGTGCTCCCACAGAATAGGAATGGAACCTTCGACTTTCCAATTAGTACTTCAGATGCGCTACCACTGTGCGATAGGAGACTCGTGGTAAGCTAGGCGGTTTCACTAGGTCCATGGTAAAAAAACTTCCTGCATACTACTAGGATAGTAGAAATGTCGATATATGACGCTTATGCACAGTTTTGATGTCAATGAAAGTGGTAAATTTTAAACCACAACTAATTCAATATCTGCTCTTCTTCATTATTACCTCTGAATGAATGACATGTATGGCCAAACAGTTCCAAGGAACTTGATAAGGGATGCAGGACATCAAAGATGCCACATTAACAGCCGGCGGAACTTCACGAGCTTCGGTTATTGCGTTGTTCGTTATTGTCCGACTGAAATAGGCCAACAATGCCAAACTGCGTTGATCCCTAGGGCTGAATTTTGATCTGAAAGGCGAGGAATGTTCATGTCAATACGTAGGATTCCAGGTGACTAAACAAAGTCAAATCTGCATTCAATCGGAGTACATTTAAGCGGTGCAGTAGGAGAAGCGTTGGCTTAAAAGTTAGTGGGCTGGACTTCGGGTTGAGAAGTTTCGTTTCGAGACCTGACTGAGTCAGTACGTAGAAAAAGAAACAGCGACAGTGAAGTCATTCAGTTTGTTTCTCACTGTAAAAACTGAAAGTGGTAGATACGGACGGATCACTGTCAGTAACTGAGTAACTACGCAACTACCATCCCCTACCTCAACAACAGATAACAAGTTAGGGTAAATGCCGGGTTAGGGGAGGGGTAGGTACGCATTTGCTCAGATATTAACACTGATCCAGCTGTATCTGAACAACTTTGCACCTACACTTCCCCTACACCAGTAAATGCAGGAACTTACGTTGTTGGATTCGGCCCTTTTGATTCAGACGTACTATCTATTTGCAACACAACAGGTTTGAACGACACACTACAACTTCTCCGCTCATTCGCGTCAACGTCCACAGTTCCGTCGCTAGATGAAAAAGAATTGAAAGAAAATTGTCCATTTAACAGTTGCAGCTGAGTCGCAAGCCTCCTTCCATTGGAGGGCAATCATATACGTCGAAGTTAACAGCGCCATGGCTAAAGGAAAGAATAAAACTGTTCATTCCACAGTTGTCGGTCTGTACTTGGTTTCCAAGCCTTCTTTCATGGGAGTGAGGCTATGGGTGACCTCGTTATGAGAGACGTGATAGCTTGTCTCATTCCTATTTTCCCATGTGCCGCACTTACCTCTGATCCTTATGGACACTTTCGATTTCATCATCAGCATCATCTGCGAACGCCCATCCAGGTGTGTTCATTAAGAATTCCTCTGTTATAGCTGGCAAGTTCTTGTTGACACTTTCTTCTGATGTGTAATTTAACTGGATGATGTGCGAAGGTTTCACCATTCGAATCACGTCTAGCAGTATATTAACTCCCATCCCTTGAATTAAAGAAAAAAAAAGTACATGATCAGCAATTCGATTCATGCCATGATTTGTCTTCAAACATCTAACCTAAGTTTCTCAAGTTCATCAATTTCAACCCGTGTTCACCATTTCCATTCTCAGCCATCCTTGTTCCTACTAGGTGTTCAGTTACCATTATCCCATTTCTTACCCATTTCTTTGCTGAATACCTCTAATACCAACGGAATTTACGGTTCGTACTGCAAGTTACGAACCGAGTTTCTCCGCTTAGATGTATGGCCCTAGAACGAAGCAAGTGGGCCATAAATCGGGCGGAAAATACGAGGTTCCGTAACTTACAGTACAGACTGAAAAAACGAGGTTAGTAAGATATTATTATATATCTATGTTAAAAAAGAGGAGGGAGATTTCAAATGAAACAAGCTTTTGAATCTAGCAGGCCTTACAGAAAAAACGGCCCGCTAAATTGACCAGTCGTAAACGTAGCGCACGTACTGAGAGATATAATAATTTAATTTTATTGTCGTGTAACTGAATGACCTTTAAGACTCGTCTGAATACACGCCAATAACGCATGACAGGCATATTTACTTTCAGAACTAATTCGTATGATTACGAGAAGGCTTTGGGAAGAGAAATTTCGTATGAAATATTTTTAAAAACTAGAGGCTCAACGGCTTCCGTTCCTATGTACATTGTTTACTAGATAAAAGGAATACCAGTGGTTTTCTCTCCTCAGGGAACCTTTAGCAGGAAGAAACACTTTTGTCTCAGGACAAATAGACACAAAACCGAATCCGTTATTCGAACAAAACGTACACGGTACATGGACGAAAAGTATAAGGCGAACATATATGCCGTGAAATGTTAGGAGAAAAACATTGATTGATCCAATTTATTCTGTAAACTGTGGTGACTCTTTCATATTAGCAGTTCTTACCTATCACCCAGCCCTGTGTGTTAACAATCAGAGGAATCTTGCCCCTGTAGTGGTCAGCGTATGTCTTGTACACATCGTGAATACAGCGCACGTACAACTCTGGCCTATCTTTAGAAGAATTGTCTCCGAAAAACACAGACCTAAAGATAACAAACACAGTTTCATAGCAGTATTTCAGAGCATGTAAATCGTGCGCAGATCACAACTGTACGCGCGAGAGTGGAACCTAGTGTTCTTCAAAGGGCTAGGAGAGAGAACCCACCCCCAAAAAAACCATTTTGAGCTGTCTGTATTACCTCAATCTATGTGGTCGCGAAGGACGAAATACAACGAATTTATCCACGTACCTGTACTTGATTACTTACTTATTAATTTCTCATTTTTTTTTCTCTATTTCTCTAATGTAACCTGAGACTACCAACGCCACCTACCTCTCGGGTTGTCTGAGATGAGTGAAGGGAGGACCTGTGAAAAAAAAGATCTAACAAATAATTCTCCCTTCAAGCAGATTTATCTTCTCTTGTAAATCAGGTGTGAGAATTTCTTTATAAATACAGACGATGCTTGCAACTGATAGGCTTGTAGTTTCCCCATTATCTGTTTGCTGGGTAGTGCATTTATAGAAGCAAAATAAAAATCATTTTTGGAAGTTAATGGGTTTTCCAAAGCCATATCGGGGCTCAATAGAGAGGAAAGGTAAAACTTCGATTAAAATCACAGCAGAGAAAAGTGGCTGCCAAAATGTTGTACCAGTGCAAAAACAGTGGTTGCTTCACAAAAAAGCCTAAAGGAATAAAGAAGAATCCTTACACAAACTACCCCACAGCATTAACCCCTTACATCCTAACATCAGTCTGCATAATCTCCATACTGTTCTCCATACATTTCTTAAGGTTCTGACCAGGAGAATTTGTTTAACGATCAAGAGTTTCATGAATTGGTGACCATTTCCTTTATTCTCATGACCTTAATGTGTGATTCAGGGGTGATATGTAAGGAGAAATTAGATGCTAGTCACTCTTGGGGTCAAAGGGTTAAAAATGGGATGAAAATTTTTGCCTACATTAATTTGAGTCTTCTGCACTGAGTACTGCAGCTGAAAATATTTCACAAAATTTTCGTCCAAAGTTCAAAGTTTTAACTTTTCCTAAGTCTTATTTAATGAAGCCAGCTAGATGTTTACTTACCAAATAAAGGAGTACCAACTTTATGAAGTGAAATCAAACCAGGTGGAGTGAATTCTGTTTGCCCTACGTCACACTCAAGGAAGTAAATTTCCTTGTGACTACGAAGAAAGGAAGATTGGAGTGGCGTAATTCACAGATGCAAGCAAATCTTATGTAGTAGAAGTAACTCAAATGTACAATACCTATTTAGAAGAAAGTTTGTTAGATATCTTGCAAATGTTGACTTTCCCACATCTTTTCCACCACATATTAAAACAACTGGGGTGTTTACTAGAAATAAAAACAAAATCAGTATTCAAATGGGTCGTGCAGAAACTTCAAAACAATCATCCAATCAATGTCAGTATCTGAGCCACCACCTACCCCTCCCCTAATCCAATAACGGTCAACTGATGACAAGTTTTAAGGTTAATGTTGGTTTAGGGGAGGGGTAGGTGTGCTGTTGCTCAAATACCGACATTGATCCCAATCATCCACTAGGTCTAAGTGAGGAGAAATGATAAGAAGGTTCAGGACAGTGAGAGATGTTGAAAAATAGGAGCATGGAAAAAAACAGAGGGCACCTGTAGAACAGGCAGAAATATAGGAAGTTGGGGAAAAGAAGGTACAGTTAGGAAATAGGGAAACAAGAGAAAATGGAAAGGAAAGGGGAAATAAATATATATATGCATATTAAGATATATCCAAATATTTATATACAGTATATATCCTTGCATTATCCAGCACACAGGTAATGAGGATACTCAAACTTATCAGGTAGAAGTTGTTATCTTGATCTTAAATACCAAATTCTTGTAACTAATTTATAGGGAAACTTGAGGGGAGGATTAACAATTAGATCTTTACAGTTAAATGGTTAACACCATTTGAACATATCCTACATGTAACAGGTTACCTTCCCCTGGAACATCTTCATCAGCATTTTGCAGTGAGCTGGCAATACCTTTCCACTCTTTAGGAATCATGAGAATGTTACATCTTGATTCTGGGTTCAGCTAAACAACACAATTTAAAGATTATACTTTTATTACACATGTTAAAAAATAATAAATCGTACAAGGCAATAAGGCCTGTGTTTTATGATGTAATATCTAGCTAATGTTTTCCCAACTATCAGTCTGTTATTGTGACAAAACAGTTTTGTGGTAGGAAATTATGTACATCACCAGTTCAATAAACATTGCAGGTTGCATGTCCTCTCATTATATAATTTGGCTCACGTTTCATGCATGAGTCATATGTCATCTGCTGTGATGAAGGACTAACACTAAAAACCTCTGCTTTACATTTATCAAGTTACATTTATCAGCTCAAATGAATATGAAAGTGATCTTTGCTGTAATGAACACTACTTACACAGTTGATAAGGCCTTATTTACACTACTGCTTAAGTAGTGTTCATAACTGTGAAGATCACTCCCATGTTCTTTTCTTAATCCACAGTTCACATACTATGATTTTCATACATAATATAATATTCACAGTCAATTATCAACTCAGTTGATAAAACCAGATTATTGTGTGACAACCCCACTGAAAAAGCACCCCTGTCACTTTGGGTCTTCACCCTATTTAATATACAGTCATGAATGATGCATAATCTCATTGTGAAGGATAAGTAATGGGTTCCACTGCTACAGCTGTACTGCATGTACAGCTGCAAGTACAGCTAACCCATAATTGTACTCGTACATAACTTGTACTGTACTTGTAAAAGCTTAACTAAACTTGTACTTGTAACTGCAATTACAGCTATCCCATATCAGTTAAGATCTGGAAATATTAAAGGCACTACAACAACAAAAAGGACAAAGAGAGCAAATGACCTTTACACTTTTCGGTTCTTGTGATTGCAATTATTGTTATGATACTTATTATTGTAAATACATTTAATTATTAGTATCTAATTTTGTAAATTGGATTGCTTTAATTCAGTTTTTAACTGCCAGAAATGTTAATAAACTATTATTTATTTTATTCTTTATTTTAAGTAAGATCTGAATGTAACATGACACTACATTGTATTTGACAATGAATAAATGGAGGAGAAAAAAAGTATATTAGGTATTTCTTACAAGAATGAATCCTTGCGCAGCAGTCCTTTTCTTCAAAGCCAGTTCTGTACTGCTTAACGAATAACTCTGTAATTAAATCACCATGTGTTAACCTTTACGCCTAAACACCAGTATGGATATTCTCCATACTGTTCTTTGCAGATTTCTTGAGTTGCTGACAAGGAGAATTTCTTTTACAATCAAAAGCTTCATTGGTTGGTGATCATTTCCTTCATTCTTAAGACCTTAGTGTTTGATTCAGGAACAATATTGTAGAGAGAAATTAGATGCTAGTCACTCTATGATCTAGTGGGTGAAAGGGTTATGGCGTGAAATAAAACTGAGTGGGCAGGTAAATGAGAAAAAAAATGTGCGAATGGACAGAGAAGTGGATGAAAAACAGATATTTAGACTGAAAAAGGAGTATGGACAAAGACAGACAGGTACTATAGATTAGCATATCATACTGAAGGCAAATAGAAACAAAAAAACCTAGAAGCACAAATTTTTGATGAATAGAGAAACTGATCAAGAACATAGTTACTATGCAGTGTTATTTGCAAAGTTATAGCAAAAGCATCTACCTTGTCAAGATCCAGGTTAAAGATTCCCTCATAGCATTGAAAGCTGGATACAAAGCTGGTCTCAACAGTTTGTAATGATGAAATTAATAGAACTGTGGCAGCTTTCTTGGCCCTTTTTACAGCTTTTTGGATCAAGTCTGATGACTGCTTTTGAAGAGTTTCTCTCAAAGTTCTTTTTTTTGTCTCCAGTTTGATTTTGGCATCACTAAACTCACACAATGAAATAAGGCTTGATGAACTTGGTGAAAAGATTTGAACTGCTTCATGCTCAGGTCCAATATTTGAGCCAAGAATATTCACAACTCCAATTAATACTTTGACATTGGCCAGTCCTTTCATGCAAACTCTCTACAAAAATGATGCACAATTTGCATTAAGGATTAACACATATACAAGGGCCAATAAGAAATGAGATAAAAATTATAAAAAAATGAAAGGGGTACAACCTAGAGTTCTCGATTTTATTCATTAGCTACGAGTAAAATGCTGTGAGCACCACCTACTGGGAGGGGGGGACGGGGGAGGGGGAAAGGAGGTCTGAGGGTGTCATGCTCCCCTGGAAAATTGTGACAAAATAAAGCAGCTAAGATGTGAACCCCTTTATTCTGAGCATGAATTATCACTGTTCGAAAGTGTTTGAAGCCAGTAAAAATGGAACCAGCAGTGAATTAAATTTAGAAGGATAACCAATTTTTACACTTAGGCATCTAACTAAAGCAGTAGAATGTTATTTCCAAATCAACAGTTTAAATGCATGAGATGTAATAATCTCAGTGTGAAAGCATAATATTGAATTTGTTGGTGTGAGTCTCGTGCTTACTGCCAGAGTTTTAAGAACTCTGTACAACCCTATACTGGAAAAGACAACAAGCCACATGCGTACCTGTCCTTTGGCAAGAAAAAGCAGACAAGCATTTTCCAAGTCACCTGAGAGAGACAATACACTGTAAAGTAAAGAAACAGAGACAAAATTTAACTCAGTTTTTCACATCCTATCATGTGTAAGACAAATGATATCATACTATTTACCAGGAACCCAAGACCACAAGGAAGTAAGGATGGTCAAGAGACTCAACAGCTGTATATAATTTTACGTGCTGCCAACAGAGTTGTAGATAAGAGCCGGCAGCCGGCAAAGTACGCCGGCTTCTCTGCAAGGTTTCGCCGGCTACTTTCATTGCTTCGAGAGCCCGTACAGAGATGATGTTTATCAGGTCTAAACTTGGGCTCAATAAAAATATAAATTTGCACTGCCTATGTTTTCTGAAAACATAAAAAGAATTCTGACTTAAGGTCAGTTTAAAAACGTTCTGTTGGGGACTGTCTTTTTGTCAAATCTGCTGCGGTGGCAGGAAAGTACGAACGATATGACGTTTTGTCCGCCATATTGGATTTCGAGACCCACAACCGTTTACCTTTAAAAAAAACTCCGGCTACTTAAAACCTTAAAGAAAACCCTGTGCCAAGGACCAGTCTATAGAGTATGGCAGGTAGAGACACTGCGTTTTTTTTAATGTTTATTTTGTGCCCCAGAATTGCTGAGGTGTATTCCACTGCAACCACAGCATGTTCATGTACATATAAGTTCAGGAGTCTTGGGCACTAAAGCCTCTTTCGATGCAAGCTGACATGAAATGGTTTCAAGGCTATTGCAACACGTTTTTGTGTATTTAAACGCGCTGACTTTCAATAATTGAACAATTTTTGTCTCGTCACGAGATAGTGTAGAAACTGACCTTTTAAGAGTAAGGGTAGTGCAAGCATCTTCGCTTCCTTCTTCTTCACATTCATTTAAAGGACTATCTGATTTGGAAACACACGGATCACTGTCTCTCCGAACTCGCTTTGTTTTCACCTTTTTCTCGGTAGCATTTGGCGTTAGACGCCTCTTCTTTCGCCTACTATTTGGCATTTCCAATGATCTAAATCACTACTTCCTGAGAATATACGATCCAAAGTATTATTTTCGAAGTTTCAGCAAGGTTCCAAACTTCTAAAACAACTTCCCAAAATCATGTGTCCTTTTCCATTTCTTCCGCCATCTTAGAAATTAACTCGCCCCATTCCCTCCGTGACCTACCTCAGTGCCACTTCACAGGTAAATATGTCATATAAGGCACCCTGAGCGTCCCCGCGGAATATACCCGGTCTCTCCACCATAACTCCTTTTTTTTCCTTCTTATTACGCGGAATGCCTGTGGCAGACCACGTTTAAAATTTGCTTGAGTGTCATCAAAGTCAGATTCGGAAATAAGCCGTGAGCTTCAGTGTTTTACACTGAAGTTCAACTCTGTTGGGTGGGGTTACCATGAGGTTTACCATTTTGATAGGTGACTGCACATAATATCTGCTGTTCTTGACTTTCTTTCCCCCGTCTTTTATTTTCTATTTCATTCCTTTACATTAAGAAGTCAGCACCAAATTTACAATTTTCCATAAAACCAGCAGGACTGTTGATATTGACCAACGCATCCCAAATTAACGCCTTTAAGCATCTTGTTTTTCTCTTTTCTACAGTGACTGCCTTGACCACTTAATTACTTGAGAATTACTTTGGGTGTTGTACATAATCAATTGATGAATCAATTGATTTTAAATTAATTCTTTAATTGCCCATGAAAATATTAGTGGTTGTACAGGAATGCCGTAAACATTAAAATAACAGTAATTGCCTGTTACAATATTTCTCCCTAGTTACTTATTATTGATAATATATGTCACAACCATGAGACTAAAACTTTTCTTTCTGTTGTAATTTTTACAACATATTTCACTTGTAAGCAAGATCATTTAATTATGATAATGACACAAAATCATCACTCACTCAAAATTGAGCCTTACTTGAGTAAAAATTATAAAACTGCTTTGTCAAAGCTACAGTTAAATCTGATCATCAGTATGTCACAATTCATATTTACAGCTATCTGGAAGCAAATAACTTCTTGTTATAACCTTGCACCCATCAATCTTTACACAATTGTATTTTGTCATAAATTGCAAAATCACCAGACAGTTATCAAGCAATAACCCTCTCTATGTCAAAGTTTGTTCTTTGATTATTTCCATCAATAAGAAACAAATTAAAGCCAAAAGAAAAAAGCCAGCTCAAGATTTTCACTTTTTGTCTTTATTACTTTATATGAAAGAAATATGTACCAGTTTTCTAGAGTCCAGTGACAGTGACATTAAAAGGCTGATCTCAAATACTGCTGCAGAATTTACCAAAAAGTCAATGTTTGATATCAACACACAATATGAAAATTAATGGGAGGGTTTTAAAATAAATAAACCCCTTTCAGGTATGCTGGTATGTTGGCTGATAATGTCCTTGGCCTTGAGATTGTATTCAAATTTCACATTTACCCTTGAAGCTTTGCTTCTCAGCCAAATATTAGTTTCTTGGACAACATCTCTGCCGCAAATGTTACCAGTTAATATACCAGATGCCTAGAGGGGTTTAATTAATGATTAGTGGATGATATAATCGTCATGTCATTACTTTTCTGTTTCAATTCAGCTGTTACTGTTCACTTGTTTGGTTTAAGAGAAAAACTACTAGGTGGACTGCTTTAAAAGTATATTATCATTATTGTTATTATTATCATCATTTTTTGCTCATTCTTATTACCATCATTATCATTATTGAGTTGTTGAGTTGTTTAGTCATCTTGTACTACAAATACCCCATTGAAAATGATGGATGTTTCAATTATTTATATTGAACACCTGGTGAAAGCCTATTGTAAAGTGAACACAAAATAGTAAAAATATTTTGAGCAACTGAAACAAGTAAATCAGTCTAGCTTCAGAAGAATCAGACTTCTCTAATGATAACTTGCTCAAATAACATTGTCTTCATGACCACCATAGTACTTAAGGTAAATATTACTTCTTAACTGTTGCATTTGCTGCTGTGTTATCGACCCCATATTTGTTGGGCCAATAACAAGCTTGTGTTGCAGCCATAGAGAACAATAATTGCCTTCATTCAATGAATCTCCACAGTTGTCATGAACACTTTTAATAAAACGCTGAATAAAATCATCCAATTTATTGTTTTCGTATGCATCAAGCAACATCTTAAGTGACACATTGATCGAACTTAATACTTGACAGAAAGGGCCAGGTCGGTGAATATTTCCAATATCCCTCATTATAATCTGATACAAACCAAGCAAGATATGTTCAGCCGTTAGCCCATTAGCCAACATAAAATCTCCATGGTATGACCTCAAATTGTCGAAGCCATAGTCCCTTGCTGCAAGAGGACCTGGGAATAAATCTTTCCAACAAGCTGAGTTTAATTCATGCAAAGAAGAATCTGGCGGAATGCAATTGGGCTTGTGTCTGTTCCAATGTCTTTTTTGGCACGATTTTGAACAATAGAAAGCATGCTGACACCTCGAACAGCGCTTCATATTGCCTTCTTTGTCACACGCGTAGCAAGATTGTTGACCAGACATGTCTTGATTACAAATACGTTTAAGAGTTTCACGTGCATTATTCACAAAAGCACACCACAAGGAGTTTTCGCTAACAAATGGAGATGTCGTGCTAACTGAGAATTGAACGCAGCCTCGCCTCTGATCACCACCTGGAGAGGATTGGGAAGAGGTTCATTTCAATAAGCTTTCGTCAGAGTTATAGTGACGTTATCATTGAAATCGAGAGCGCAGTCACAAACTCAAACTTCTTTTGAAAAACTTTAAAGAATCACTATTTTGGTTTTTTTCATAAATAAATTTACTCAAATTGAAGTACGGTAGTTGGTTTAAGGGAATAGCCAGGATCTTCGAGTTACCCAATCGACATTGGTTTAGCTAGGTCTGTACCCTTATCGACAATGAAAATTGTCGTCACAGTGGTCAAAATGTTGTCATTGACTGGATGTTATAGTTGCCCTACTTGCGATGCCCTGGGCTAAATTTCAAACATATCAATGGCTGAGTTTTTCGATGATCTTTCAACAATCAGGGATGCTTTAAGTTTCGTTATTGATGTAAGAGGTATGAGCCATTGTTGAACTGGGAAACTTGTAGACAATAAGAACTGAGAGCAAAGCACAATGATTCTGACTTAGTCTGTAACGTAAGTCAAAGTCCTCTTATTTCCTCTTTAAGTAATAAAATTTACTCCATTGTTTTATTGCTAAATTGTTAAATAAATCAGCTAAACGGCTGAAGAATAATATGAAACTGTATAGTTTCAACTGCAGAGGAAGTGACTGCTTTGAATGCTTCCTGAGTTCCTCTCAATTAATTTTACACCACTATCAGTTAATCCTCGTGATAAGTAACATAACTAAACGTTTTATTCTATGAATGATATATACAGCATTTATACAAATAAGATTTCCTCGTCTACTGTTCATTGAATACTGTTCTTTTCGTTTGAAATGCTTCTTACAAAAACTAAAAATAGTACTTTCTTCATCTTCGTAGAGAAGCTTGCATAACATGACTGGCGAAGAAAAATGTATTGGATTCTAAATTTTGTTGGGGGCCGTTCCAATCGACTTTATCTTTTTCGCATTGTTTGATTGGCTTGGAAAACTCCCGCCACTTTTCAACCAGTCAGATGCAAACTACACGCGATCGTAAATTGACCACTCACGTTTCCCTGCACGTGAAGCCATTTCAGTTGGTTTACTTTGATCATTGAATGGCTTCTTCTCATACTTTTCTTTGTTTTGGTTGCCCATTGTGACAACTTGGACAACAATCAATTAAAAATCACTTTAACCACTAAAAACCGCTTCAATACATTGAGCCCAACTCGAAGTTTGATGTTAACCCCCTCCATTTGGTATACAAAGTATTTCCCATCATCGAGAAGATCTTTTCTCTCTTCTTCACTTCAGTGCTAGAATTCACCTTGGCTTTCTCCTTTTATAAACTCTTTTAAGCTGTTTTAAGGGAGGTCTTGTTTGAGCCAGCCGTCGCTTCAGTGAAGTCTGTTGTTCCACAAGCTGTGCTACATGCCCTTGCTCAGCTAACATGGTCACAAATGTCCGAATAAAGGGATCGTAGTCGTGTGTACGCCGGCTGTGGTCCACCTGACACAAAGCACATGAGGGGTTTCAAATATATTCACGTGATGAAAAAAATGCTCAGACGGACAGAGTTGAGGAGGGGGAAAGGGTACTTGAGTCAGTTTTAGCCTTCTTAAATCACCATTTGGGCAAATGTAATTTTTGCGATCCCAACTTGGTCACTTTCTTTTAATGCATCTACCTTATAGAGCCTTTTTAGTAGGTCATCTTAAAATTGTACGCGAAAATTCTGATGCTGGCATGAAGAATGTTAAGCTAAAAGGTTCTCATTTTTAAATCCGAGCTTATACCAGAACTCCAGAAAGTGAGCGACTCTATTCAAATAACTCTACTGAAAACGGAACCCTATTTCTGATAACTCTACTGAAAATGGAACCCTATGATAGTCAGTCCAGAGGAAAAATGTGACCTCACCAAGCGGCACATCCCTATTAGCCTATTACTAGGAAGAGCCCCAACAAAAAAACTTCACCGAAACACAGGTCTTTTTAAAATATGAAATGCATGAAAACTCAATCAGATATGAAGTTACATAAAGTAAGAACTAGACAAGAATTACGTTCAATCCTGGACATAATTTGAGCAAAACGGCTCCGAAAATTGTTCACAAACGTCGACATCACATGCCAATTTTACTGTCGATGTCATAGAGGGTTTGGATCACGGGTGAAATAAATCAAGATACTAGCATTCGTGTGGCATCATTTGAAGCCAATGTTAGGTCTGTCAAGCAACGTAGCTGCGAAGGAGATTGGGATTCATTATACGAAGCTGTTTTTAAGTATTTGATAAGTGTAATCTTAAGGAGCAAATCATCACATGCAGTTAGCGCATAAGACGGAATTCTTACATAATACTTCCTTCGTTTCTCCTTTTCTTCTCTCAGGGAATTCTCACATGCTTGGATTTGACGTTCAACGTGGTGAAGTTGAGTTACCAGAGCCTGCAAAGAACAAATTCCATATGTGATTCAGAGCAGTTTCCTAGCGTTAAAGGGTAACGCAAAAAAAGCGACAAAGAGTGACTCTCTAACGTTCTACAGAAACGCTCGATCAAATAAGTGATAATACTGACTTGGTAAACACCCGGCCATACCTGGCTTTCCTCTGAAATCTTCGCCAGCTCACTTAATGGGATGGAAAAGCCGTAACTATGTACTCCGTCTTGGTTTATGGACTTTGAAGCTCCCTGAGAAACTAAGCAGCACACAAAAAAAATTATATGACTAACGAGGGGCTAAAGCTCCAAACGTCAGCTTTGAAACTCTTAACGGAGGCCAATTTACGTTTTCCACTCAGTTGATAAAACCAAATTATCTTGTTATACCCTCCCACAGACGCAGCACCACAGTTTCTTTAGAAACTTACAGTAGAAAGTCTCTCGTTTTTAAATTTCAAGCTTTCGATCACGTGAATTTGTTACCCCTTTGCTTGGACATTTAAGAAGTCTTGGAGTTATTATTTTAGCCAATGTTGTGGTTCATTTAACAAGTTTAATACATATTTTCCACGAAGTTTGGACTCAAGCCTATTTTTTCGTAAACGGATTTTTTACATTTACCCCCTTTAAGGACTTTAAGTGCCAGTTGCAATTTTTTTCGCGCACGATCTGCACGCATATATCACGTAACGCATCACACTAAAGTAGTTATCAGCCTACATGCTCGACCACTTTAAAATGATGTACTTTTTCTAGTAACGAAAACTGATATATACAACTGTTCGAGTAAAAATTTTAAAGCGTTGATACAAGTGAATTAAATGGTGTGAGTCGAGTGTGATAACTTTGGTTCGTGAAAACTGATTGGTCCATTTTGCCGTAATGTTATTGGATGCGAGACTCAATCAACGTAGGTCAGTCGTGATTGGTCAGTTTCCTTCCGTTAGTAACGTTAGGTCATTTTGATTGGTTCGTTACTTATGGTCCAGGTAGTTGTCGACATTTTCATACTAGGAGAGACTGATCTAAGCCGTAGTCACTAAACCAGCTTTCTAGAATGAGTTGTTCATGGTATTTAGAGTTGTAGTTGAACAACGCGTAGAGTTCCAGTCAGTGGTGTGGTTCGCGAGTCAATCCGTCGACAAACTGACAAGATAATATATGGAAAAAACCTTTTGGATTTGACGAAATTCCTTTCTCCCCATTTTCTTCGTCACTCGCCGAATTTTCTGCGCCCGCTCTATCGTCGTGACTGCTGGCCACAGTCTCGGAATCAGAGAATGAAAATGTCTCTTCATAATCAGCCTGGTCTTCCGAGGGCGCAGTCTCCGTGGTTTCCTGTAAGAAAAAAAACAGTATAAAAATGATCCCGACTGCATCTAGATCACGTTAGTCGACGGGTTTACTCTCAAAGGTTAAAGAATGAGAACCTCTGAACGGCTTGAAGCATTTCACGTTAAAGTGTAAATTTTGGTCAATTCAATTACAAGCAAAACAGAATATCGTAAGCAGTTAAAGTCAGAAGCGTAAAGCGCGGGAAAACGCGCGAGAGTCAGACACAAGTTGGTTTTGTGTTAGCATCTGATAGCGCTAATTTTTCACACAATAATTCTGCTTGGTGTGCAAAACTAAAGGAATTATGGAATATCTTTGAAATCGCGCAAAAAATGAATAACGAAACGGGAAAAAAGCTAAATTTATTGCAAGAAGTAACTTATCAATATCACTTCTTACCCCAGTTTGCGAGGCGCCAGAGTCTGAATGGGTACTCCCCGTTGGTGAAGCTGGGGGCTCTAACTCGGGGGAAATTACAGGATTTTTATCAACCTGTTTTTCAGAAGTATCGTCAGGTGTCACGCTGTCATTAGTCGCCGAGAATCGATTCCCCTTCTTCTCCTTTGCTTGTTCGCTGTCTCCTGTTCGCGTTTCGGACTTCCCTTTATCTGCCTCTTGTAGTTTTGAAGTCTCAGAGTCATTTGAAGCATTGTTAGATGAGGTCTCCATGGTAACATTCGTGGTGATACCCCCTGACGTTGTCATGGCAACAGTAGGTGTAACAGTCACTACGGCCGCTGTAGTAGGCTGTGAATTGTCTTGGGTCGTGTTGTTTGCCGTGGAACCAGACTCGTTTGCTATTATCGGCGCGGAGTCTTTCGTTGTAACAGGATCAAACTGCATCACAAAACAAGACCAAATGATCATTGACATCGTATTTTTAATAAGGATTTGCAAACATTTTTTGATCTTAAGAAATAAATTTATGAAAATGGCGTTTTAGTGACAAGTTGTCAGTTGACATGAGAGACGAGTAAACAAATGACATCATTCAGTAAATTGCCAATTTTGTTTCGGAAGGAGATTTAATAAAAGCAAAAACGAGGCAATTTCATTCCAAAAAAAATGTTTTGTAAAAATCAAAGATTCAGGAAGTATTATTTTACAGTACACAACTATATGAAAGTTGGGTAACACTTTCCAAATTTGCAAACGATTTTTAATGTGCAACAATACAAAATTGGTACCTTCTTTAGTGACTCCAATATGCTTTCCCTTCAGAAACAAAAACAGAAAAAATAAAAGATTTTAGAATCCCTATTAATACTTAAAAAGAAACAAGAACACAATCTTATTTAAAATGGGTCTTAATGGAAATGTGGTATGATGAGAAGCAAGTCATTGCACTGTAAGTGATCTTGATAAATACCACAATTACACTGTACCTTTCAATACTCAAAGTTTTCAGTTTTTCCTCACATATTGTCATTCCATCGGCAACAACAGCCATCAGGTTGTACCTGATATCATGGTAAGGTTCACTACGCAAAAAAAACAAAAACAAAAAAAAAACAAAAAAAAAACCCTTTTTATTAAAAAGACATAAATAAATAGTTAAAAAAACTTTAAAAAAAACTTGCCTGTTCAAAACCTCATTGGGCCTCCTCTTAGCTTTTCTTAGGTTGCCCTACCTTTAACACCCACTTTTCTTCTCTTGAGAGTGAGAACAAGCTCACTCTACTTTCAGAAAACATGCATCAGATTTTCCTGTATTTTATTCAAGATTTTTCCACTATCTACTCACCCTCCAGTAGCTATTCCCAGCCTTTCAGTTATTACTCTGCGGAATTTTTCTGTCCATTCTTCATTCTCCCCCCAAGGACCTGGAAAAATCAACATGTGTTGCAAAAATTCTAAAACCCCTTGACCATGTGTTTCAGTGCAAACAAGTTCAAATGAGCCTGCCAGCCTGTCAGTCAATCAGGACATCAGTCTTGTACTAAGTCAATCAGTCTACCTGTTAGTTAGTCTGCAGGTCTGCCATTTAACCTGTCAGCAACTTAAAAGTCAGCCTGTTATACAGACAATTAGTCAGTCAGTCAGTCAATCAGGATACAAGTTATCTGCTAAGTTTGTAGTTCTGCCATTTAACCCATCAGTAACTTTAAGTCACACTGTCACTAGCAATCGGTCAGTCAGCAAGTCATCCAGTAAGGCAGACATCAGTCATTCATTCCATTCAGTCAGCCCAACAGTTAATTATTTAGTCCATCAGTTAATCAGTCTTTCATCAACCTGTCACCCACCCAGTAAATGAACCATAAATTCAGTCAGTCAACCAGCCAGTTAAGGTAAAATATCACAAAATGTACCAAGTATAAATCAATGTGTCTTACCATGATCAATTGGATATGGTTTAAGTCCATCCAGCTCAAACAGGCGGCCCTTGATGGGTACATAACTAACAAAGTGAAAAGCCTCCATAGCACGACCAGTTGACACAGCATTGGTTTTCTCAGGTAAAAGCTTTGGCTCAGGTCTGGGTTGAAAACACATTTAAAATGTTCATCAGGCCTTAGTCTTCTATCCACATAACACAAAAAGTTCTTTGGAATAAGAGGCAATTTATTAAATTATGAATAACCAATGATGCTGAACTTTATTGGTGTCCCGTTCTTTCAAAGACTCTTGTGACCAGCTAATATGGTTACTGTCTCTATACCAAGTTAATGTGGTTTATTTTCAGTCAGAGATCACCTAAAATTTCAGACTATTATGCAATTTGTTTCATGGAACTTTAACTTAGGGAAAATAAACTTTGCATTCACAAAATTCTTCAAGTTATGAGTCAAAGTCAAAGTCGAAGGCTGTATGTCACAGCCTATTCCCACAACACATACCATAGTCACAACATTGCATGTAACAATCATTTTAAGTGTTCCATCCTCAATACATACACAAGTAATTAACACTGACACAAAATTTAAAAAACCTAAACTTAAAGTTGAATGTAGTGTTTTGGAATTAACAGACTTGTGCATTTAGACTGACTGAAAATAATATATAATATAATACATGTACTGTATACATTACCTCTGGTTTAATAACTTACCTGGCAAACTTGTTATGTGCCATAGCCAATTCTGGCAAGTTACCAATCACATATCCCTTGTTCTGAAAAAACAAAAAAAAACTTGATGCAATCAAATCTCTATTAAAGAGTTGTGGAACTGTACTATCAAACAGGATGACATCCCTCTGACTAACCAAGTTTGAGGTCTGTTCTGTATTAGTAACAGATCAAGTTTTTTTGCTTGGATTTTTGGCCCAAGTGCAAAGTGTGGAAGAAAAGGGAAAAGGTTGTGAAACTTACAATATGGACCAAGAAAATGAGGTTAGTAAGATATTTAGTGTATCTCTTGGTTCAAACAAAGGGGGGAGGGAGGGAGGGAGAAATTAAATTCAAAAAACATATTTCTTGCGTCGTACAGTAAAATATAGCCTGCTAAATTGACCAATCATAGTGTATGTATTATCTGAGAGATATAATAAACTCAGATATTCCCCTGTTTAAGCTGAAGCATGTGAACTTTCAACTCCCATATGAGCCAAAAATTACGATTGGTTTACACTCGAAGAGTATTCAATACCTACCTCTGGGTCAAATTTATTAGAAAACTCCTTCAGCCTGCTGAGAGTTTCACCCAGGTGAATATGAGTACAGTTAAGGAGGACACTCAGTAATGAGTGAGTGGCACATGAGTTTGGGATGACCTGGTAAAGAAAGAAGAAGTTAAAGCACAGTCCTGTGAACCCTTTAACAACCAAGATCTCATTAGTAATTCTCCTTACTGTCTGCCAAATGTTTCTCATTACGTTAGTTTGGAGAATTTGGTATCGGATCAAGTAGTAATCCCATAATTGATATTTCTCTTTATTCTCATCACTTGTCTGCACGATATTGTATAGATAAAGTAAGGAGAAATTCTTTCTTGGTCACCACTCATAGGAGTTAAAGGGTTAACCTTGATGAGAATACTCAAACACACAAAAGGAAGAATAAACAATCGGATCTTGGGAGTTAAAGGTTTAAAATTTTGCTTAATACCTGCTGGGCAAAAAATATATCTCGGATGGTCTCCTCATCCTCCACAAACATCTCCTCTAAGGGTTGAATTTTACGCCTTGATCTCCTCTCTTCGATCCACTTAAAAAGGAAAATGAATCCATAGACAGGCCTGGAACAGAAAGAACTAGCATTTAACTGATTTGAATCACACAGTATTCTCATCTGTTTGAGCTCCTCACTGCTCAAAACCAAAAACATTTGATGGTATCCTTTGATACACAGAAGCCTATCAAGTTAGCCTTGGCTGGGGTGACTGTGTTGAGCCATTAGACAATACTTCATTTTACAATTGCATGCTTGGTTACCAAGCCAGGAGTGAGGCTAAGGGTGATATTGTTATGATACAGATATTGCTACTTTGCAAATGTAAATTAATTTGTTATCATGCTTAATAAATACTAGTCTCTATCACAACAAGGTCACCTTCCCTCCTCACTCCAAATCAAAGGCTTGGCAACTAAGTACATAATTGCAAAATAGCCTATTTTTCACCTACACAGAGTTAAGAGTTAAGCAAACTCTACGAAACCTGGCAAAATACAGGGAGGCTGCTAACCACCAGAGTCTGAGAACCTACCAAAATACTGAGCTTAAGAAATAGTAACATCTTATCTAGTGGGAGCAGCCTCCAGCAGTCTCATGCATCTGGGCCAGCTACATGTTGCTTGTGTGTACACTATGTGAGGTTTTTTTTTGTTTTTTTTTTTTGAGAAAAAAATGTATTAGTAAAAAACAACAAACACAAAACATTCCTTGTACTGACCCTCTAAATGGCTTAGACAAATCATAAATCTCTTCCACCTGAGCTCCCTTGACACCTGAAAAAAAGCAAAATATTAACAATTACTATCAATGAACACAACACCACAGATTCTGCACATGATGTATTTCAAAGCAAAGACTTCTTCTTTTTAGCCATAAATATTTTATACAAAAGTGCGTAAAAAAAGAAAAAAAAGGTGAGCAAAATTTTTTATAGGCACTTGCACTTTAGCAAAGCAAGTACCAATTGATTGATTCCGGTTTATATCCCCTTCTTTGTTTCGTTAGGTGACAGAAATTTTACTGAAGATTACGATTTGATTGATCGACGGGTGAAATTAAATTAATATTGATTTAGCTAAACTGCAGTTTACAGGGTCACTTTAAACCATCCTCCAGATGAGCCATATGAACCACTAAATATATAGACCTAAGAATTAACTCGCATATAGATTATGCTCTTTCTTTCATTCACTGCGGAGAAAGACAAGCCACTGACTGAAAGCGTATATTCAGTATACGATTCTCGTTCTTTTATCCACTGCGGTCAGCCAAACGAGCAACTAAATTTATGCTCCTTATGGCCCTGTATTATGAAGTTGCTCCATTGCTTTGACTGAGGTACAACGCGTTTTACATTTCATCGGAAGAAAAAACTCTCCGACGTAAGCTTTCAAATTCCACTGCGGCCGTTGAAGCAGCTAATATAACAATGCTTCCGTCTTAATTCCAAGCGAGCAGAGCTGAGCACGATCGATATCTGTAAATCTTGGATTCAACGATGCAATTAACTACTTAAAAGGATCCCTGCAACAAGGGTCGCTAAAAATAGCGCTTTCACAAATGCACTTATTTATCAACGGTTAAAAGATAAGTTTTAACTTTTTTAAATCTTACCAAACTCCTCGATCAGCAAACTGAAGAGCCCTAAACAAAGCGAAGGTAGAGGTAGATTTCAGTAACTTTTTGTCCATTATACTACAGCTATTTATAGTTATGTTACAAATTACGAATAAAATCTATAAACGGAAATAAACGAATATTAAACCTGGGTCGCTCTCAAGTTCCAACCATCCACTGTTTACCGCCATATTTGAAACATCATTACAGTAAAGTCAGCGGACTGCTACATTTGAGAATAACCATTCGTGTAATGTTGCTGGAAAGCGATGGCGCTTGCACGGGGTACCAAGTTCACCTTGTTCTGGATCGCGCCGTTTATTTGACCAGGAGTGCAGTTTTCTGTCCTTGTGGCACTATGTCCTGACGACATATTCTGGCGACGTATTTCACTGTCCAGAGGTACAACATTAAAAACAGCGGCATACTAGGGCGCCCCAACACTTTAGAAATGATCGAGCACCCCTCCCCACTCAGGCGTGTGCCTGTCGTTTCTCAGTGCCCCCTTTTTGGAGCGTTTTGACTGAGTAGGAATCTGGCATGGGCTAGTCGGCAGATTTCACAATCAATAACAAGAATGCTGGTATATGCAGCTTTTTTACTGTGCCAAACTATCAAACGCCTCAATGTACTCAATTCAAATTTTCAGGCCGCTTGATAAATGCATGAGTTCATTACTGACAATTGGCCTCTGATAAATTCTAACTGAGAGACCAGTCTATTTATCACCCGATAGTAGGGTGAGGGAGAGGAGCAGAATAATTTTGTGCGGGAACAGAGGGGGAATTAGTCGTCGTCGACAGAGTATAAAAAAGGGGGGGGGAATATGAGTGCCAATTAACTGTTAATGAAGGGGGGATCATCGGAATATAAGAAATCCTTATGGGGAGGATCAGGATCAGATATTTCAATCGTGACACCCCCCCCCCCGGCAGTGCACAATAACCGGTCACGGAAACAATGCAATTTGCATGGAAATCGAGAAACGACCAATTTCAGAAAGAGTGCCCAGATCGGATCGAGTGTTAAAATTCAATCCAACGATTAGTGTACGTTTCGATGAGCAACGACAAACATTAAGGTTAGGGTCGAGGGGAAAATAATTCACAAGCCCACGTGTGCTTGGTATGGAACTGTCATCAGTCTATTGTCAAAGTACTTGATTAAACTTCATGCAAGATTTTCCTTCCGCGCAAAAAGATATATACATGTTTATCATTTTAATTCGTAGCCATTTTAATTATTATGCAAAAATGGAAACTGTTTAAAACAAGTCACGCAAGCAACATATCATAAACACGCAATTAGAAAGGTTGCATCAAATGAATAACTCCTTACTAAAATGAAATCCTCACCTTGATCGCGCCCGTGCACGATTTCGGAGAGGGGCACATCGCCCGTCACATCGTCACCGTAGCTCAGAAGAAAATTAAGAGTTTGATCCAATTACGGGATACATATTTATAAATTGACTTTTTGTCAACAAAAGCTGTTTATTCATAATCATGAGCGCATGTTTATTCTTGTTTGATAAGCAGTATATTACCTCGTCATCACATCATCTAACTGAATTCGTGCGCTGCTTGTTCAGATCTAAAGTTTGTTTTTGATACCAGTGATCGAGTAAAAGGTGCCCTCACAACACTGACAAAAAACTTAGAGATGAAAGTCCTCGCAGTTCTACTGTTTCTCTCCGTAACTCTTTGTTTCACAACAAGCGCATCAGGTATAGCTGACAGACTTTGGTGGAAAAATGTTTAGATGTTTTTGCTACCCTTAGAGACTTTTGTTGACGATGACCATGAGAGCTCATTCATGTAAATGGTGGCTCGAAAGTCTTCGCTGTTCTGATATTATTTAACGTTAGCGATAAGTTGTTGTTGTTGCTCTTTTTTAAGGTTTAGAGTTTTAAGATTTCTAAGACAGCAACTGACTCGATGAAATCAACCAGAGGGTGTCGCGTGTCGTTCGCTTTTCCTTACTTTTGAAATTGTTTACCTGGATAACCTTAGTTTGCTGAGGTGCCCAAAATTACTCACTTAAGTCGATATAAAAGGAATTAAGTTGCTTTCAACCAATCTTGAATCATTTAATATTTTTATATCTAGCTTTGCCAAGGAGTTCCAAACGAGATCCTCGTGGGATACTTGAAAACATCGAAAATGCGTTTGGTAAGTTGAACAAGAAACGAGGGTCATGATAACTTAGGAAGTTCAACATGTTTTCGCTGTTTTCAGTTCTTAACTTCGAGTTGGTTTGAGAAGCAACCTTTTTCGGGGGCAAAATTAGCTGCATGCATGTTCGCAGGCATTATAAACGGCATAAATTTTCTTTCATGCGATTTTTCAATCGTTTTATTCTACATTTTCGTTTGCGATTTCATAGCCTAAGAGTACCCACCCCCACCCCCTCGGAAAAAAACGGGAGGGTACGTCGCCCGAGCATTTTTTTCAAGAGCCTGTTGCAGGAAAGACTGGTCAACCCCCCCTTCCACCCCCCTCCTCTCTCCGACGTCTCGCCTCGTTATCATCCGTTATCATTTATATGTAGTTAAATTACACGTTTTTGATTCGTTCCCAGGCAACCCGTGCCCCAATGGTTGGACACGCTTTAACAACTACTGTTATCTGGTGAGCACCACCTCTACTTATTCTTGGTCCCAAGCTCAAGCGCATTGTCGCTCGCTAAGTGCAGATCTGGTTAAGATAAACAGTGCTGAAGAAAACGAGTTTGTCTTGAGTCTCGTCAGGAAATTGGCTCCGTCTCTGAAGCAAATCTGGATCGGATTGAAGTGGAATACAAACGGATTTTACTGGATTGATCTTTCAGTTCCGGTTTACAAGAGTTGGGCCCCTCAGCATCCGAATGGCAACGCAAACGAACCATGCGTTCAAATGTGGATTAATAATGGACAACATCTGCCCAAGTACGCATCAGGCTACTGGAATGATATAGATTGTCATTACCGGTCAGATTTCCCAAACGGAATTGTCTGCAAGAAACTGCCTTAAATGACAATTTATCCCATTAACAAAGTCTTAAGACTGTGTGACTGATTGATTGAGTATAAGTGATTGGGTGACCGAGTGACTGACTGACTTACTGACTGGCTGACTGGCTGACTGGCTGACTGGCTGACTGGCTGACTGGCTGACTGGCTGACTGGCTGACTGGCTGACTGGCTGACTGGCTGACTGGCTGACTGGCTGACTGGCTGACTGGCTGACTTACTTACTGGCTGCCTGACTGATTTACTTACTGACTGACTTATCATGACTAGTTGACTTCAGTACTAGAATGATCTAATGACGCCAAGACTGTATTACCTATCGACACTGAAGCACTGAGTGACGAGCGCAACTGACTCACTAACTGCATGACTGCCTGATTGAAAAAAGTTCTTATTAACAATTTGAGTATTTAGTAGTCTTACGCCTTTCAAGTGGAAAATAAATGACAGCCTGAACGTATCAATTTGATTTATCATTGTGCTCGTGGGTATCACTTAAACAGCTTGTTCGTGTCTTAAAAATTTGCCAGTTTTACGATCAACGATTGATAGTTCGAACAAAATTAATTTCTCGAAACATCAACGAGGACCTCAGATGGCTCCATAGAGTTTTAGCCAGATTATGACGCGTGCGCAAGTGTGAAATTAAATTTGTCCTGCCGATCATTTTGAAGTCGAAAAAGGGGTTACAAAGGCAGCTCTTCGCCTTTTCTAAATTGTTCTTTTCTGCATCTAACTTATTATTATTATTATTTTTTTTTTTTTTTTTTGATTCATTGACAATAGGAACGGCGAATAGAATAGAACTTCGCCAAGATCAATATCGCCAAGATCAATATCTGAGCATGTAAATAATGTAAATTTCTAAACAAACTGCGGTGCTGCGTCGGTGGGAGATTCCAACAGGGTAATTTAGTACCACCGACTGAGTTGAAAATGTAAATTGGCCACCGTTAAGAGTTTCAAAGCCTAAATTTCGAGCGTTAGCCCTTCATCAGAGCGAATGACGAAGGGCTAACGTTATCAACTCAGTTGTTAAGAGAAAATTACCCTATCTTTTAATATCCGTACGATCTTGCAATTTTCGTATCAGCTCGTGCGCATTCCTTTGTTATCGACGGTTCTTTAAGATTTGCTTAAAGCTTGCAGGCATACAACATTGCGTTCGCACAGAGCAAGATTTACCACAAATTTGCGTTCGAAGGCCTTCTATTTCAAGTTGGATACACAGTCAGCTAAGAATCCCTTATAAGAAACAGAGCATAACAGCTATTAGCTTCGTCATTCAATAGTTCAATGCATGGGAAGCAGTTTGAAGAGAGCCGCTCTTTAAATGTACTGAAACAAAAGTGTAACTTAATTGTATAATCTCTAATCTGGCTTTACGTTGAGAGTTTTTAGCAACAAAGCCACGGGAGGAATCAGGAAAAAAAAGAGATAGTTTTGAGACTCCGTTGCTTTTACTTTCATGAAACGCACGAAAAACCACTGGCGATAAGATTTCTTACCGCCTCTTGTGCTAGCTTTGAGTAAAGTTAGGAGCTTTGTTTTGTGGCCGTTTTCCCCTTTCATTTTGCCACATTCAGTCTTTTGCAAGTGGCCCGTTTTCCTGATTTCACGTTAAATCAGCAACAACGTCCACTTCGCAAAGTCTCGTTTCGAGCGCGAGTAAGTGGTTTATTAGATTTCCATGTGTTCCCGTCATTGGAACTTTTGACTGTTTTAATAGATTTAAGCACAGTACAAAATACCTCAATGAAATGAATGGTTCTTTTTCAATTAGTCGTATTTTCACTTCCTTGTGGGAAGTTAAACAGGCTGAATCTTAAAAGAATGGAGATTCACATCAGTATTGGCCTGCAGAGCAGCCTTAATGAGCAAGTGCTCAGTATTTTCTAGCTGAAAATTTGATTTTGCAATAGTGAAAGGCTAACAAGAGAAAGAAATCTGTTATAAAGGGGTAAGCAGTGTTCAAAAGGAAGGAGAGGGGAGGGGTGGTGGAGCTCATCTATTCCTGCCCCCTCCCCACTGTTCACTTTAACTCTATATCAAACATGGCCGTTTGGATGAGCGATCTTGAGATTGTTACACCTGCCCTTATAGGACACCTGTAATGCAAGCTTCATCAGTGTAAGCCTCAGTCAACAAGATGTCATCCTTTTATTTCTCCACATGTATAGAGACATTTCAATTGTTTCCCCTTTAAGGGAGAACTGATGAAAACTAATGAAAACTTATTGAAGTGACACTATCTTGTATCATTCTTGATTTAAATAAATAAATATAACTCTTATCTAGATATGAATAAGCCAGATAGAATCTGTCAATCTCAAAACAGCAACAACAACTTGCCAACTTAGAACTTGGTTTTCAAAGAGAGCACATGGACTGCTCCCTGTGGAGGAGACTACTATCTCTTCACTTGCCAAACTTGGATAGCTGAGCAGCTTTTATTATTGGTTGAAGCAGTGGAGAGGCAACATCTGCAAGAAATTATATTCAATAAGAATTGTATTGTTTTTTAAATTTTAGATTTTTTAAAATTTTAGCTTAATATCTTTGACTTATAGACCACATTATACTTATAATAACTACTATGCCATTTTACCATACTATGGCAACTGAACGCTCAAAATATGTAGCAGTATTACGATGTGGAAGAAGGCAAAAATACAGATGAAAAGTGGAGCAACAAAATCAAATAATAGGAGAACGATAAATCTTGTATTTTATGGTTAAACACATAATACATTAGGATGAGGGAAAGTGGGGCAACTAAATGAAATAATAGTGGAATTATAATTCCTCTATTCAATTATGGTTTAACATGTAAAACAAGTGAACATTTTGCTTGAATTTTTCCTTAACCTTAAAGGGCTGATGAAAATACCATGCAACTCCCAAAAATATCCATGCATATTACCATGTCAAGCCATCAGATAAGGTGTATCTATTGACTAAGACTCTGATCAGTGTCTAGGCAATGTTTAGTTTTGTGGATGAAGGAAAGGCAGTAAATCCTAGGATAAAATTCTCAGAGTAAGGATGAGAAGCAACATCAAACTCAACCCTTACGTGGCCCAAGTCCAGTTATCAAAATCAAAGCCACAGCAGTGGGAGTTGAACATTCTCACCACTGTGCTATCCTCATCTTCCTGTGACAAGTCTGCTTGGTTGTAAAAATGTTAGTTATTGTGTCTGACAGAATAGTCCATTTTACAGTTGTGTGCTTGGTTGCCAAGCATTTGAACAGGAGTGAGCTAAGGGTGACCTTGCTATGATACAAACCTTGCTGCTCTTCATATGAAAATTACTTTGTTATCAATTTGCTAACTAGATAGTGGTCTCTATCACAACAAGGTCACCTTCAGCCTCACTCCAAATCAAAGGCTTGGTAACTCAGTACACAACTGTAAAATGGCGTTTTCATTTCCAGGACTATTCTTACCTGGACAATCAGACATAATTTAAGAAATAATAATCATCATCATCATTATCATAATATTAATAATAGAAATTAAAACATTAAATGATCATTTATCACTTACATGAGTCACAGCCATAGCACCACACACTCACATCACTGAAACTCAAAACCACTGGGTGTCCTGATTCAGAATTGTGATCCACCATGTGACAGTTGACATAACGACTGCAGAAGACAGAGGAGCATACAAGACATAACCAGTTCTCGCCAACATTACTGCATGTCCCACACGGCTTGGACAAGTCAACGTGGAGTGATGATACACTTGTTAATGACTATAAGAGAAAGACAAACAATTCAAATATCAATTTAATGTGCAGGTATCAAGAAGTGAGTTTTGCTGAGGAAACTTTGTTATCCTTGCATTGGCAAACAGTCAAACATTATTTAGCCAGACCTTAGCCAGTTCCTAAGATATGAAACAACCACCAGTAAATTTTTGACTCTCCCAACATGTTATCCTACCCCCCTGTCTCACCCACTCCCCAGCCAGAAATTCACTAGCCTTCCCTGACAGTTCACCAATACCTTCATGTACTCCTCAGTCAGGGGTTTCAAAATGTTTCTAAATAGGCATCATACTCTCCAAAAGTAGGTGAATACAAAAATGGTCATTTAGACCAGAGGAATCCCCAACATGTTATCAAGTAGCTGGCAGAACTTTGGCAGTCGCTGGCTCATCATATTTTTTTCCTGTGTGAAAAGATGCCACTTGCCACTCATGAAAATGATGTTGCACTCAGAAATAATGCAATGTAGGAGTGACCCCCAGAATATTCAGTCATGATCATGATCTGCTCACAGGCAACCACTGGGGCACACTGACTTCCAAGATTGACTGAAGGCTCTTGACCACTAGTCTTAGCCGATGTGAAGAAAGACAGAGACTTAAAATAAATTAAATTATTGATTGTTTGAGTTAAACAGCTGGACAAAATGCAAAATGTCAAATCTTAACAACTGACTGCGTTAGATCAGAGGAATATTTGTTGAACGTCAAGTCACATAAGCTATATTTGAATATTTTTAGAGGGCAGATTTTGCCATGAGCTTAATCGGTTCTCCGTATCATCTCTGTTCCATCGATCCTCTCATTAAGACCAAACGACAGATTTACCCTGTTCACAAACACGAACAGTAAACTGCGATAATCGAACTTACTCTATGAATATGTTTGGCATTGGTGACATATTCTCGAGCAAGGGCGAGCGTTTCCGCTCGTTGAGACACGTTAATTTTTCACCAAACCGAACAAATAGAGATCGACGACTTAAAGCGCGCGGTTCTAACTCTGTCAACCCTGAAGATTTCTGTGATCAGATCTTCGAAGCGCTTAACAAATATATAACGCTTTCAGTTCAAACCTGAACGTGCGGGCAGTCTCTCTTCGGTTCAACAGCAACGAATCCTGCTGCGTCTGACCCTCCTGTAGCCATGATCTTCTAGCTACATTAACTAAGTGTCAAAATTTTTTAAAACCGCACCTAAGTCTGTGCTTTCTTCCTCAGGAGCCTGGGTAGAGCATGTGAAAATTTCAGCCTCTGTATTTTTATTACCCCAGACAAACAGATTATAGTTTTGATTTTCTTGGTGGTACTTCCGATGCGCTTTATCAAAATTTGAATAACCTTCTTTCCACAGCGTGAAAATTTGCCTACCCGGAAGTAAACATCGACTGGCAAATTTTGTGAAAATAACACAGAAGGGGTCTTGTAGATGATATTCACTGCTGACCAAATGTCTTTTGATACTGGAACGAGTCTCTGTCAAACAAGGCCGATATCACTGGGTACAAGAGTTAGTAGAAAGATGGCGGCCTTCCTTTAGGTAATTGAAATTTTGTGAAAAGGTTACTCTTGCCTGCTGACAGAATGGTCCGAATGAAAGTGATAAAATGTCCATCGGACAAATTGTCTTTAACAAATTGTCTTGTGGTGAACGAGAATGACTTCAGTCGCGACAGAGTCAAGTAAGTGTCGAGTTTGTGATTCTTGTGACGTGTAGTTTCTTAATGCGTTCCCGTATGATTTCTTTTGCCGATGTCAGCTAATATTTGTTTTTAAAGGGAAAGATTTCGTAAAGATGGGGAATGCTCTGATTTCTATATAGTTTAAAGACAATAACATTTGAAATTACTAATGCTGGCTAAGATTAAATCTTCCTTAAAATTTTTTCTTCAAAACGAAAGTCGAAAGTGCGAGTAGAAACTAAACGCGAAAATGTTATGTCCGCGAGATAGTACTAGTGTTAGCTTGGGATGTTCTGTAGTGATTAAATCGATATATTTTTACATTACGGTAGCCTTTTCCAGGAAGATCGAGTTTACAAAATTAATCTATTTAAGAAACATGTCACAATGTCTCAAGCTTGGGTCAAAGAAAAAAAATCTAAGTCTTCCCGGAGGAATGAAGTTAGAGACCCTCTGATGAGGATAGTAGACAAAGTCAATTTGATGGTTGTAGAAAGTAAAAACTTCTCGATTATTCTTCATTACTCTGTATTGAAATGACTGATGTTGTCTCAAAGTCACTTTCTACATGTATCAGATCAACTATTTCAATGTATCGAATTGACTTTGTTGTTGTTGTATTAAATTGACTTTAGTTTGTTTTGAATTGACTTGTATAGAAACAACTTTGAATCAAAACAACCATAGATCCCTCCCTGATATCACAATTGAATGCTCGATGGACTGATACTGAAAACTCTTTGGTGTGCTGTGGGAAAGATCTCCACATAACCCCACTGTATTCTAAAATAAAACCTCAGTCCTAAAGATAAAGTGCTGTATTCACCATTGATTTCCTCTGTCAAATAACTGTAAGCACAATTTGATGTATAGGGCTATATGGAAATCTTGGTGAGTTGTGCATTATCACTGTACTCCAAAATCAGTTTATATATAACTTCCCTCTAGGATTTACATGTAATCCAGTCATTTCAATTTATTTTTATTGTTTAAAATGGATCTTTTTTTTTTATCAGACATGTTGAGGTTCGGACCAATGCTCCACAAGGCTACATCTTTACCATAGAAGTATCACAGGATGTTCCACAAGGTTCTGTAGGATTCAGTCTTGTCCAGGTAAATTACCTCACGAACATCTCTCAAGATGTACATTCAAACTCACCTTGCTGTTTGCTACATGTTTCTCAGGATCTTATCCCTGAGAATCATCTGTAAATGAAACATTATCATCTTGTCAGTATTCCTCTTACTTCTCATTACCTTTCTGAGGGAAAATTCTCTGTGTTTGCTCCGAGAAATTCCCCTTTGGTCAATCCTAAAAATGAAAGGGTTAAAAATTCAAACTAATTTTGAAAGAAATGGTTTTAAATGTCTCTCAGAGAGAGTTCAATACTAACAGTGTTGTATTTGTTTCATTTTTCTGGTGGATTTGTCATTTTTTACATCTTTCAATCATTGGGAAAAAAAATTCAATTTGATTTTTGTTTGCTTATCATATGATGCATTTAGAATAATATTATTTCTTCCATCAGCTGAAGGACAAAGTTGATTTTATTTTGAGATTTATGACTTTGAATTTTACTTTACTACAATTTCAGAGAAAGTGGACCAATGTAGCACTTAACAGTATCATAGATGGTAAGACATCACTGAGACATCCTCTCACTACTTCACAGTTGTCATTAGAAGCTGGTAGCCAGATACTTTTTGAGTTGTGATCAAAGACAGAAAAAAAATATTTTTAAGCTGATTCTGACATTAATGTCTGGCTAGAAAAATTTACTCAAATAATGTTATTTCCTGCAATGCTTTAAATCATATCTCAGAGAGTCTTGAATTCAAAATGTTTCCAGGGCAGTTGTAATCCCCAGAGCCCCTTGAAGGACTTGTTGCTTTGCAACATGCCATGCTTGTTACCCAAGCATAATTTCATTTCAGCTGTGTACTAAGTTCAGATTATACGTCTTCTAATGACAACCCTGCTGCCTCATCTGTAATATAATTATTTACTTACATGTAGATTTGCATCCCACTGAATTTTCTGAAACGGAGGCACACAGGGATATTACAAAGATTTCGAATATTTTTGGAACAGGATATTTTTTCGACTGGAGCAGAAGTAAAGAACTTTCAAATACTTACTCTTATATTCAATCTTTGCCTTAAATTGATGTATGGAGTACTAAAGGAAAATCATCAGATCTGTGAGAAGTGGTCTAGAGAGTGGAATTTTTACAAACTCAAGCCTCTGATTTTAAAACCTGTTTCACTATATTATCACTAGGGTTGAAAGATGAAAATGTATTTATTTTAGTCTGTTAATATCTCTTCTAGTTGTTCCATACAGATTTGGTGAAGGATCATACCTGTCAAATATTACTTTTGAAGCAGATTTTCTTCAGAAGGCCAAGTAAATATTCCTGTTAACTACAATTATTCCATCAAGAACATTATGTACATCCATGTCGATTATTATACTTGTTTTTCATGCGAAGGATATTAAATATCTCTTACTTTAACTAATTGCAAGGTGAGTACTGTTTGTTAAGAACCAATTTTTTTTTTGCTCTGATTTATGGCCCAAGTGCAAAACATGTGGGCTTTAAATGGGAGTGAAAACATGCAAGGTTCTGTAACATACAGTATGGACCGAGAAAACCAGGTTAGTGAGATATTTCTTGTATCTCTGGGTTTAAATACAGCAGGAAGATATCAGTTCAACAAAATTTTCAATTTAGTAAGCTGTGCAGTGAAATATGACCTGCACTTAGTGGGGTTTGAAGATAAGCAGAGGGAATTCTTCTTGAACCCTTCTTATCCCCTTAAAGTGACTGGTATCTGATTTCTCCTTTTTATATCACCCCTGAAGCAAACATTATGGTCAGGAGAATAAAGGAATTGATCACCTACTGAAGTTCCTCTTGATTGTTAAACAAATTCTCCTTGTCAGCACCTTAGGAAATGTTTAGAGAACAGTATGGAGAATATGCATACTGATGTTTGGGTGGATAGGGTTAAGTTAGATAATGAAGCAGAAGCATGGCTTGAATTGCTTGTGGAACTGCTTGTGTCTCATGAGCCCAGACACCATGCTAGATTGAATGCACCTGTTAAACTAAACTGTCGTGTTATACTGTTGTTACAGACTTGTAACATGTACATGTTTTGCAGTGTTTTCATCTTGGTCCTCTTTGTGGCCTAGGATAGCTGACTTGTGCGAATATTAAAATTTATCCAGCGATAATATCTTTTGTTCTACATTAACCTTTTAAATCCCAGAAATAACCACCATGTATTTTCTCCCTAAAATATGTTCTCCAGCAAACATGTTATAATGCGAATGATCAAAATTATGAGGTGGAAGCTTTTATTGTAATAACAGGATGGAAAATGTGGTGAAACAATTGTTTCATCTGTCAGCAGTACATTGTGGATTGTATTAATATTTATTAATACAATCCATATGTCATAAATGGAAATGATTAATAAGCATCCCTGCTGTTCCCATATCCCATATCATTCCTAGTATGGATTTTAGTGAAATACGTATCTCTCCCATAGAGAAGACAATGGAAAGGCAATACATGGCAATATGTGGGTTTCATATGGCCATATCAATGCTATATAAAACCCAGATATGGCCCATAGATTATCCCATATCACATTCATACATGGTCCACACCTGTCCCATATCACCTAGTTTTGTTAGGGAAGAAGCACTTGAAAAGTTTGGAGAGCTCTCAAGAAGCTATTGATAGCTACTCTGTAACCTAGCTTTGGAGTATTTCAAGTTTTCTGTAAGCTTCCTGACTTGATGAAGGCTTCCTGATACTAAAACTTATAATTGTTAACCCTCAAACTCCCAAGATCTGATTGTTGATTCTCCCCTCTACACATTTCCTTGTGAATTAATGGTGAAAATTTGGTGCTACGTGTAGATCAAGATAACAAATTGAATATTCTCATTACCTGTTTACTGGATGGTGTATGGATGTTATAGGGAGAAGTTACATCTTAATCACCTCTGGAGGTTGAAAGGTTCAATGTTGTTCATCTTTTCTTGCACTAGGGGTAACCAAGATGCCTATGATACGAACAAAATGGCAGAGGAATTTACACACCTCTTTTATGACCGGGCTTTTTCTGTTGGTCAGCAGGTAAATGGCATTTAGTCTGAGGCTGTGATTTAATAGTTTAATGAAGCACACAGTAAATATTACAAGGATTTCAAAACAAGCCAGTAACTGCAGAGTTTTGTCCTGAAGCTACTTGATAACATGTTGCCGTTTACTCTGCTCAAAATAATTACCTTTTGGCCCCTGAAAAACTTTTGACAGTCACCAAATTTTGCTAAGTCTGATGCCTACTTTAAATACTTTGATACCCCTGAATTCCTTTTTATAATTATTTACTAGTTAACCAGTCAGTATGTGAAAATAATATTCTGTGTATACAGTAAGTATAATACCACAGGGGTGAAAAGTGTTATGGGCTGCTGGTCAGAAAGTAGTAAGTAAGTATTATTCACCATCAAGCCACAAAGGGGATAAAATTGCATGTCAAGAGTTAAATCTCTGACCATTTGGCTGTTTATTGACAGAAATAACCTAATTTTATTGGTTTCTGTGTGGTATATGCTTAGACGTGTGTTAACCTCTGTCAATGTTAGTGATAGTGGTTGTTATTTACCTTCAAAAACTGATGTTTGGCAGCTCACATTACCTCAGCTCTGATGAAAAATTATCAATTATTTTAGTTCTGTTCTTGTGTTTCTTTTATTGTTAATTTTGATTGTGACAATTGTTTACTGATGACAATTTTTATGATAAAACAGGCTGTATTTTCTTTTCAAGACAAGAAATACCTCATTCTTGTTGTAAAAAGTATGGAAGGTGAGTGGAATTATCTATGATTGGTCTTATTCATCAGTCTGTATTTTTCTTTCTAATTCATTTTATCCCTCAGAGGAATGTTGGTGATACTGAAGATCACATAATACTCCAGCTTCCACCAGAATTCATTGGTTAAAGTGTAATGGCTCTTTGTCTTACTTACATGGAGAATATTTCTCTGTTACTTTACACTTATCTCCTGCAACAAGATTTCTTGGTGAAACTTAGTTTTCATCCTAAGAGATCTAGGAGAAATAAATGGAGGAGAGGAAATTAAATTTTCTGATTCACTTCAGCTTGGAAAGTTTATTTCTTCTCCTTGTTATAAGGAGAAGAAATTTGTGAATTCCATGGAGATACAACAGACCAGTCTTTTATTCACAGTGAATCTCTGATTATTGAATTTTTTTCAATTTGATCAAACCTTGCTTGATTTTTTTCTTTTTTTTTCAAGTTATTGATGTCAGTCTTCTTGGTGGGGCCAAGAATAATGCTTCTCAAGGAACAAATGTATGTACTTTATGGTGCTGTCACATAGATGTCCCAGACATTTTTTATGTGATATACTCTTTTTAAAGTAGGACATGAATTTGCACAGTTCCATAATGGTTGTCGTTATGTGACCTGCACTTGCCTGTTTGAAATGTAATTGAAAAAAAAAATTGAAATTGTAATTGAAAAACATGAGGCATAAATCTCCATATGAGGGCCATACAGTACTTAACAGCACAAGCAGGACCAGGAAAAAAAAAAAAACAAAAACAAAAACACTTGTGATGGAGTAGCTATTGACTGACTGTGGCCAGGTCAGCTGGGTTACTATTTGGTTTCCAGTTATGATGCACAGGCTTTGCTCTGCTTGGTCCATTTATAATGACCCAGAGCCAAATATTTTCCTTTGTTGCCCTTCCATGCAGTCAAAAGTATCTAATTATTATTCAAACAAATAGCAACCAGGGTGTTTACTGTGTATAAGAGATTTGGAAATTCTCTGGTTAATACTCAGTACTCTTTGGCTAAATTTTGATGGCCCACGCTATCTTTTTGTTTCCATTCAGATGTGGATAATTTTCCATTGGCACCCATACTTTAACTATTTTCCTGCTCCTTCATTCTTAAACCCTTTCTCTCCCATGTTCTCATTAGAAATTCTCCTTAATGTCTGTGCTAACAATTCCTATGATTTTGGATCAGAGAATTTGGTATCGGATCAACTAATAATCCTCTGATCAGTATTCTTCTTTATTTTCATCTCTTGTCAGTCTGCTTTATATTGTTATGACAATGTATGAGACAAATTCTGTCTTGGTCACTAATAGGAATTAGAGGATAATGAAAACAATGAATGACCTACATCAACTTGAGGTGTATATGCAGCCTGATTTGCGACCTGTATCAGTGTACTATACATTTTTTGCTTCTCCATACCATAGGTTGATATGGGTCTCATAACAAGTAATACCCATGTGCTTTTTGAAAGAGCAGAGGTAATATGAAATATTTATGGATATCATTTATAACATAACTAGAGCTAAATTATGACATTTGTCAATTTTACAGCATTTTCTTTTTCCTTATTTAACCTATGATTTATAAGTAATATTGTGGTTTTTAATAAAATCTCTATCGAAGTCCACAATGCAATTCAGCCTTTAAACCAGTTACCTGTATCATCTTGTTTCTGACATCAACTTGCAAGCCAGTCTGTCAAGGTCTGCATAGGTTCAGTGAGTCATCAACATATCACCTTGATATTTACTAGTTAGCTGAGGCAGGGTGATGTACATTGTACCACAGATGAGAGAACTTTTGCAAATTACAATGAAATGGTGCATGCAGGTTAAGTACAGTTAGTGTAGTTAAACACTGAAAGTTATATAAATATTGAAGTTTAAAGTGAATTAAATCTAGTTAGGTTTGCCCTTCTCTTTGTTTAAAGACTATCAGTGATGATATACCCAGAGAAAATGGAGGAAAGAAGGGATTTTGACCTGTAACATGAATTTAATGTGTTCTCTTTTAGGGTTCCATGTTGAATCTGACAGGGACAGCCAAAGGGTAAGAGCAGATAGCACTGTTGAGTGACACTTCAAAATACATTTACATGACGTACCATTGAGCAATAATAGTAGAGACCAGTACATTCACCATAACCTGTCATCCCCTTTAGAGTGATGAGTGATTATCATCTAGTTTCTCCCCACAGTATCGACTCTAAATCAAGCATTATGGTCATGAGAAGAAAAGAAATGATCACCAGCTTAAGAAATTCTTAATTGTTAAGCATACTCTCCTTGTTATTACCTCAGGAAATGTGTAGGAAACAGTATGAAGAATATGCTTGCTGAAGTTCGGATTTAGAGGGTTTATATCGGTCCAAATTGTCCTTAACTATTTTACCAGGGATGCAGTCACACTGTAGAAGGGAGAAGTGCTGAATTAGTTAACCCTTTCATTCCCATGAGTGACCAAGACAAAATTTCTCCTTACAATATCAACACAATATCAACCAGATAAATGATTAGAATAAAGAAAAATATCAATTTGGGGGTAATGAGTTGATCCAATAATAAATTCTCTGAACTAATATTATAAGTGTTGTATTATTGACATTGAGGAGAATTACAAATTTGATCTGGGAGTTAAAGGTTAAACAGAACTAGAGATGTGAAGGTTTTTTAGTGAGGATGACATTTCTAAGTTTTAATTTATACTTTTGGAGTATGTAGGGATATTATTTTTATTGTTTGATTTTCAGAAAAGCAGCAACACAGTCCATTATCAGTAGAGACTGGGACTTCACAAAGCTGGGAATTGGAGGCCTTGACAAGGTGTGTTTTCCCACTTTTAATGTCTATGGAAATAATTTGTTGCATTCAACTGGTACCAAACAAAATATCAAGTTGCATACGATAAAGAAACTACGATCTGTTGCAAACACAGTGTGGCTACAACCCTCTCACTTCAGGGGTGACCTATAGTTCATTTCCCCTCACCATATCACCACACTGCCAAGCGGAAGGTTGATGAGAAGACAGAAAAAAAAAACGTCGGTTAGGGAGTATTGTCGGATTTAACACCAACTTCTCAGAGCTAGAGTGATAGAAAATGTCTGGAAGACAGTAAAGAGAATTTGTATTTAGATCTTTGGAGTCAAGGGGTACATGCTACTTGTAGTCAACACTTATTTCCTATAAAATGCTTGATGACAGTTTGTTTTGCTTTCCTTCCACCTGGCAACGCTGTATACATGTATTTTCTGTCATTTTGTTCTTTTGCAAACAGGAATTCTCTAACATCATAAGAAGAGCTTTTGCCACGAGGCTTTTCCCCCCAGAAGTCGTTGACAAATTAGGTGAGAATACCAAGAGCTTTAGATGTAATAAGTAAAAGGATGATGAAGTTTCTCCGTACAATATCAGCCCTGAATCACTGATTAAAGTCATGACTCTTAAACAAATTCTCCTTCTCGGCACCTAAGGAAATGGGAAGAGAACAGTCTGGAGAATATGCATTCTGATGTTAGGGTGTAAAGGGTTAAAACCTCGTAAATCAGTCAAGAGTCCAACACGTACGGCAGGATCCGCGAGAGGAGTGCATTAATTTGGGGGGAGGGGGGAAGGGCGGGGTATGGATTGTAGCACTATGAAACTGTGTGAATTGTTAGCGTGAGTGAACATTCAACGGTCGAACGGAAAATAAATACCAGGCTTTGTTGTTCAATGCGCGGATAACGCTATCCGGCGGACAGCGGTATTCACCCAACGATCAATCGGGTCAAGGAAACAACCAATAGCGAGATTCACGTTGCGACCTTTTATTATTTTTGTTCAGGACTTCGGCATGTCAAGGGTATTCTGCTACATGGACCGCCAGGTATTTCTAACAGATATTTCTTGTGTATATGCTGTCACACTGTGGAAAATCAAAAACTCGAGCACCTATAAGCGTGTTTGATTTTTAGGAGATTGATGCTCGTAATGGCTGCTGCTTGATTTGAATTCTTTATCATTAAACGACTTTATATCGCTAGAATCCTTATAGGGTGAAATTCAAACGTTTCTCAATGGTTTCGCCAGCGATTGATTATTCTGGGGTTTGACCAGTAAGAAGTTTAATTTATAAGTACCGTAGTAACTAACTGCGGAACTTGGTAAATTCAGGAACTGGAAAAACGCTGATGGCTCGGCAAATTGGCAAGATGTTAAACACAAGGGAACCTAAGATTATCAGTGGACCAGGTGAAGTATCTTATATAGTGGCTAATTGATACTCTCGACCAACTTGTGTTACAACTATAAGAAGTATTGATTCAGTAACTAAATTGCGTTTTCCCTCGCTCATTAAACACCTTGTTCCATTTTCCATTTTTTCATTTTTCCATTTTTCCATTTTTTCCATTTTTCCATTTTCCCATTTTCTCATTTTCTTCTGATTGGCACTCTCCATTATTCAAATCGAAATGAGGTCTACCTACAAGCTCTGACTTAACTTGCGATCTTGTTTCAGAGGTTCTCAATAAATACGTTGGAGAATCGGAAGCCAATATCAGGTGAGAAAAGAGCAGAGACCGTGACATTGTAATGTGCATTCTAGGAGTCGTTCTCTGCGACTTGCAAAACAAGAACACTAAGAACACCAAAGTAAAGAGAATAAATTAAAGAGGATCTGGGATCGTTGAAGATGGAAAAGATTAGTAAAGATTACAAAATGCCAATTTGATAATGAATGGACCAAGGTTTTCAAGATGCGCAGGCATTAGCGCTTTTACCGACAGAAAAGGACTGTAAGCGGCCAGAACGGCAACGCCAGGAAGACATCGACTGAAAAATGAAGTTATTCTTTTGTCGGAATTTCTCGAGTAGCCGTATGTGTTTACCAAACATGTGAAATTTCAATACTCGCGTCGCAGATGAACAGTTCGCACATGTGGTGTAACGAAACTGTAACCCAGTCACCATGAAATAACTAAGCTTGTTCATATTTTATTTACAGAAAGCTATTTGCAGAGGCTGAAGAGGAACAGAAAAAGGTACAGTGCCGTCGCAACTGCTTTCCAAGCTCTTGGCTTTTCTTCTAAAACTTCCATGACGGTTTTGCGGTAATTAAGATTGTGGGTTCCGTTATGGACTATTTCGTAAATGAGTGTTCTCCAGTTTAATAACGAAGAGCATTCTATAGAAAAATAGGAATTGGTTGGGGTTCAATGCACCCAAAGGACTCGGGGACGGGATTGTTTCTTACAAAAGTTTCAGGCAATTATGAGGTTTCTTTTGCCCGAGTTAAATGATTAGGCAAAGGATGAAACATAAGTCGTCGGCTTGGGCATATAGGTAGAGGTTAAGAGCCTTTTCTTCCAATGAGAAATTTCATGTTAGGAATTGGTATTTTTTCGCGTACCGAGAAAGCACAGGGTTCCCGATAGGATCAAGAGTAACTGTCAAAGTTCCCATTATCCGTGGGCTGCTCCAGCGTAAGTAAAAGTATAATCTTAGGGAGCGGTTAACATCCATCCCCTAGGGCCGGTGTTTTGAAGGTTTTTTTTTTCCGGGGGGGAGGGTGTTATCAAATGGTTTTCAGGGGGAACGTAGGGGAGATCAGCCGTCGCCAACAGAGTATAAAGAGTATAAAGGAGAAACTATAGAAACTTGACTGCCAGTTAACTGCCAATGAGGGGGAGGGGGGAGGGGGGGTCATAATATTGTCACGGAGCCTTATGAGGAATCAGGTAAATTTTGTTTTTCTCCCCCTCCCCCTCAGGTAATAGATAATGACGGGTCTCTCTCAACCAACTGTGAGACAGGGGAGCGACAAAGTTACCTAAGGGGACTTCTGTTCCGTATTTGTGTTATCCTTGCAGTTTGGTGATAACAGCGGACTTCATCTTATAATCTTTGACGAGTTTGATGCAGTTTGCAAGTCAAGGTACATGTACAATGTAAGTACTAGTATCTTTTCAACTATTTCTATTTGTTATCGATGGCTGCTCCTGTTTCTTAGGACAGAAAAGACCGAGCCTTGTTAAATATGTGAGACATTTTTAACTAGGCTAGATGCGCTATTAGTATATACCACCGGTGTGAATAGTGCTTTTTGTGCTTGCTGATCGGCCAGTTCGGAAGTGATTAGCAAGTACTATTCACCTCTGAGCTGTCGAATAGACAAACCCGTGCATCAGGAGCTTGATTTCCGACCATTTTTCGATATATTGACATAACTAAAGATATTTTTGTTTCTATATGGTATGTGCTAAAATAATTAGTCAACTCCATATCAGAGGAGGAGGTGGATATTTACCTCCACTTTGGTGAATAAATGTTATAAGTAATAATAGGAGTCATCAAGCTAAAACCAGAATAACCGCAACAGCCAATCAGAACAAAGGGGATTATGACAAGTGCCTAATGAGAACTCAAAGTGAAAACAATCAAACCGCCCGAAACGCGGGAAAATGCCCTTCAACATATCGCAATTTCTCTTGGTTTTGCATCTGATTGGTTGAAAGGGTAGAGTGAGTTTTCTTAACCAATTACATTTAAAAAATTGCCGTGTTACATTTAAGTATGCAATGAATTATTGTTCATTTTTTAATATTCTTACTTTAGAGCGGAGGCACTGGAGTGCAGGACTCAGTTGTAAATCAACTTCTTGCAAAGGTGAGTAGATTTTGATGTCTCTCAATAAAACTCTTCAGAAACAGATTTTCTCAAAAGCACACTAATCCATGTGCCCCATAGATTCTTTACGTCCTGATAAGAGGTTTTTTATACTGTGTATACGAGATTTTCCCCCCAAAAGAGTGAGTGCGCAAAACAGGCTTAGGCGGGAATGATTTGATAGACTTAGAATGCTCGAGTATCTGAGGAATCTCGACATGATATGACTGTGGATGGAGGCCATCTACAATTAACAATTTTTCTGTTTGTTGCGGTTCTCACAATAATAAACAGGAAGCCAAAAAAACAAAATACAATTAAGGTTCAGTTATATGTATCAGCTTCGTGATCGTTAAGTGTACAGGTCGTTGTATAAAAATCGATGCTCTCTCCGTTGTATTCTTTTCCCTATGTTAACTATTAATTTTGCTTTAGATTGATGGTGTGGAACAACTTAATAACGTTCTTCTCATTGGTAAGTTTCGTTAATGTCATTCATGGACGCTATGCAAGTGATGTTTATCCTTTAAAGATTTCTCCCCGTCTCTCCCCTCCCTCAGGTACCTGGACTGTACCTACGTCTCTTTTCGCACAGCCATTTCCAATCTTCTACATAAGACATAAGACATAAGACTTAAGACAAAAGACGTAACACGTAACACGTAACACGTAACACGTAACACGTGACACGTGACACGTGACACATGAGTCATAAGTCTTCTACATGAGACGTTTATATTTGATAATTTCACTTGCCAAGGCAGTCATTATAAACTACAGACACTTATGTCTGCTTATCGGGAGGATATATTTGACGTTTTATTGTTTCGTTGCTCAAGGCATGACAAACAGAAGAGATCTCATCGATGATGCCTTACTCAGACCTGGACGACTTGAGGTTCAAGTTGAGATTGGTAAGTATGTTACAACGATCTTCATTCAAGTGCACTGCAGCTGTATCCTGTGGAACAAAGGCATCCTACAGTTGTGATGGATCCTCTTTACGTTTCCGTTTGACACTCTACCGCTCATGCGTGAACCACGAGGCTACGTCAAACATGCCCTCTGCCTTCCACGCTCTGTTCACGAGCAACAATGAATTTAGTAAACCGAAAACGGGACAGTAACGGAAAGGACGTTAACAATAATAGTCAGATTTTAGAAAAACTCGGAATCCATCCACCCTCCCATGGAGTAAAAATAAAAAAAAATTAAAAAAAATCTTAAATACGACATTTTCAAGTTCAAAGACGCTAACCTGGTACTTTCGGGATGAGATCACGTGAGAAACTTTGTGGAAAAGAATCAAATTTGTCTGAGAATTGACATCGTTTTCCAAGGCCTTGCACTCAATCTCAATTTGAAAAAGAAGCTGTGAGTATCTCATAAGTGTTCTTTTACTGAGTGAAAATGCTTTTAGAGTTGCGCGATAGATGTCTACAATAGTCACCTCAAAACGTTGTTTCAGCATGAGTTGGTTCTTCTTCAGGCCTACCAGACGAACAAGGACGCGTACAAATCCTGGAGATTCACACAGCAAAGATGCGAGAACACAAGTTACTGGCAGCAGATGTCGACCTGGCTGATTTGGCCGTCCAAACAAAGAACTTCACCGGGGCAGAGATTGAGGGACTGGTGCGAGCGGCACAGTCCACTGCCATGAACCGCTTCATTCAGGTACTGTAAGCGACTTTTCGTAGATAGTTTTTGTGCGGTGAGAATTCAGTAGAGACTTATGCAACGAACTGGCTTCAGCAAGCAATGCATCGTGGACTAGGTTTTATCATAAAACTTACTTATCACAAAAGTCTATGACTTTGAACATACTTAAGGAAAGATTCCACTACTTTCCCAAACAAAGCATGCCCAAACGAGGGCCAACCGCTGATAGACACGACAGCAATGTCGATCGGTAAACTTCCAGGGACATTATTGGAGATAATTATCCTTTTTCCTTCATTTCACAGCTCAAGAATAATTTCGAGATCGATCCTGAAGCAGCTGAGAAGATAGTTGTGAAGCATGAAGACTTTTACCATGCTCTGGAGAATGATATCAAACCGGTAAATGAATATTTTAGATATGTAGTGCAATTTTTAATTCAGTGTCAAAAATAATCTTAGATGGCAATGGGTTTTGCTTTACTTCGCTCTGTGATTGGTCCAGAAAGCTGGCGCCACTCTCTCAACCAATCAGATGGATAACTAGCACGAATCATGCCTTGGTCGCCCGCGTTTTCCCGCGCTTTAGTCAGTTTGGTTGGTTTTACTTAGGACACTCAGTCGGACTAGTTATGTTGTAGTGATTGTAGTGGTTGGGGAATATTGCCCAAGCAAAAGGTGTTGTATGGGAAATAAACGGGGTTATAATGTCTTTCGTTGCAATTTTTTTCTCATGTCGATATATTATTTTAAATGATTTTCCATTATTTTGTTTTCTGTTGCACGTGTAGGCATTTGGACCCTCTGACGACAATCTTGATCTGTATGTCGCCAATGGTGAGTCTACTTGAAGTTAAATCTCCAGCGGGGATTTTGTGCAGCTTAACTCTCTCTTTAAGAGTGACTAGCAACCAATTTCTCCTTACAATATCACCCCTGTATCAGAAATAAAAGTAACAAGAATAAATGAAATGATCAGCGACTAAAGAAGCTCTTGATGTTAAACAAATTCTCCTCATCAGCACCTTAGAGAATGTATAGACAACTGTTTGGAGAATATGAATACTGATGTTAGGGTGTAAGGGGTTAATCGTACTGTCAACCAACGTAGCTTTCATTTAGTGATTAATGCAGTCAGTCATTCAGTTTCTCAATCAATCAATCATTAATTCATTTATTCAGCCAGTCATCCATTCAGTCACTCCCTTCCTCTCTCACTCGCGCACTCAGCCAGTTTTTCAGTCAATGAGTCATAAGTCAGTCAGCAAGTCTTTTAATTAACCATCGCTCTGACGAATGTCTAACGCTTGAAACGTCAGCCTTTAAACTCTTTACGGTGGCCAATTTACGTTTTCAACTCAGTATTTAGCACTAAATTACCTGTTATACTCTCCCACCGACGCAGCACAACAGTTTCTTAAGAAACTTACCCCCTTTTTTCAATTAATCAGTCAGTCGTTGGGTGAATCATTCAGTCAACTAGCCAATCAGTGAGCCGGTCAATCTGTCATTCAGTTACGCGGTCACTGTGTCTGTCAGATACTGTCGTCCGTCAGTGAGTCAATCTGTAATTCAGTCAGTTAACTTATCCTTCTTAGACTCACTATGTGCTAATCTCTGTTGACTTATTTTGTTAGGAATTGTCCGGTGGGGTACCCAAATTCAGCGGATAATAGATGATGGAGACCTTTTGCTGCAACAAACACGAACTCAGGACATCACTTCCCCAATAACAGTCCTGTTAGAAGGTGAGTACCCAAAATATGGGGAAAAAAACAAACAAAAGATAAAAAGAGTACCTAAGAGTAATGCGAAACGACTCGTTGGTGAAACGACCGCATTCAGCAGTCATGTTTGAAAACTCTCTCTTTGGCAGGTCCTGTTGGATGTGGCAAGACGGCCCTCGCTGTGCACTTGGCTCTAAAGTCAGACTTCCCTTTCATCAAGTTGTGCACACCAGAAAACATGATCGGATTTGTGGAAAGCGCAAAATGCCAAACCATTAAAAAGGTCAGGATCTCACTGATGCTCCTTTGAGGATTGGTACAGCCAATTTCGAAGACCAAAAATGGCCTTGTAGATTTCTGATGAATTCTATCGAATTCTTAATACAAAACATAAAGATTTGGGATTATGCCATTAGGAACTGAATGGCCAAAGAATAATATAAATTGAACATCTGATAAGTAGATCTTCATGACTCACTTACACTGACTGTGCAACCGATAAAATGCTATGACGTCTGTGAAACGTAGATCGGTCTGGTTTTTCTAGTTTCGTTATCTGAAGTACTGTTACTACAATAATGTACAGGGCCATTTTATAGTAATGATTTCTTCTGTTTTGAAATACTTTGATTTTTGACGTTAGATATTTGACGATGCTGACAAATCGGAGTTGAGCTGTATCGTCGTGGATGACATAGAGCGTTTGTTAGGTACGTTCTCCAGCTGTTGAATTTACCCCATTCAATGAACTCGACTAACACAGTTCTTTCCCTAACCCTTAACACCCCAGTATGCAAACTTTCCATACTATTCTCTGTACAGAGCTTCTCTAGCCGGTGATCATTTCCTTCATTCTCGGGACCGTGGTGTTTGTTCCAGGGGTGATATTGTACGGAGAAATTAGATGCTAGTCACACTTAGGGAACAAAGGGTTTTAAAATTATTTTCTTTATCTTCACTATCATTATCGATATTTTTTGGTTGTTTTGTTTTTTTTTGTTTTTATTAATTTTTGTCACGTATATAAAAGGGTACTTGAAAGAATAAAATCTAAACGATGGGAGGATGGTTTTATTATCTTACTCACATTGTTTTACCTGGTTAAACCCTTTGACGCACAGACCAAATTTGTAATTCTCCTTACTATCAACCATACAATTCTTATGATGTTTGTTCAGAGAATTGAGTTTTGAATCAACTAATTATCCCCAAATTGATATTTTTCTTTATTCTCATCACTTACCTGGTTGATTTTGTATTGATATTGTAAGGAGAAATTCTGTCTTGGTCACTCGTGGGAGTTAAAGGGTTAAATGATGCTGTGTTCCACTGTTTTTTTAACCTATATTTAGTAAAAATATCTTTTCTGGTTGGATTGATGTTCCCTTACGTCGCTTCGTTTACGTGAATTCATTAATTTTCAGACTATGTTGCTATTGGGCCAAGATTTTCAAACACTGTTCTTCAAGCTCTACTTGTGTTGCTCAAGAAAAAGCTAAGAAAGGTTTGTAAACCTACTATGCTCACATCCTTCCAGGTTTTACTTCTCGTTAGGTTGTCGACGATCACGACGAAAATGCCGATGACGACGGAGATAGCAACGATGTACTCTACGATAATTTCTGTATAGTTTTCGGATAATTTCGTGATAGCGAGGATAACAGCGATGGTGGTGATACACTTCGCCGTCAGCGGTTATTGACAACCACGATATGAACACTTGCCGTGAAAATAATGACGAGAAAGACGCGGCAATGAGAAGTTTATGACATTTTGATAAGAATTTGCCAAATTTAGACCGCTTTAAATAAGAGCAGCAGCAATTACAAATGACGCTTTTTTTTTACTTCTTTATCTCTCAGGGTCGTAAATTGATTGTGATCGGAACAACCAGCTGCCGAGATGTATTGGAAACCATGGGCATCGTGGAAGCGTTTAATACTGTAATCCATGTGCCCTCAATCTGGTCCGCAGACCAACTCAAACAAGTGCTACAGGTTTGTTTAAATTAATTACAAAATACAGGGGGTAGGTTTAAAAAGCAACTGTGATACTACGTCGGTGAGGGGTAAAACAAGATGATTTTGTTTAATCAACTTAGTTGATGATGTAAATTGGCCACCGTAACGAGTTTTTGAAGCTGACGTTTCGAGAGTTAGCACCTCGTCAAAGCAAAATACGAAGGGCTAATGCTCGAAACGTCAGCTTTACTGAGAAACTCTCTAACGTGGCAACTCAGTTGAAATTATTACTGTTTACGTCATGGATGTGAGCCCCGTCAAGTCTTTCTCCTTTAATTTCTTGTTTTTCCAACCTCTAGGAATCAAAGTTGTTTGAGGATGATGAGATTAAACAAATTGAGAAGAACATCGGCCAGAGAAGGTGTGCTAGATATACAACGGATTTATGACAGTTTGTGTTTCCTTACTAATGATGATCACCAATTTAAGAAGCTCGCGGTGCTTAAACAAATTCTCCTTGTCAGCACCTTAGGAAATGTATTGGAAACAGTATGGAGAATATGCATACTGATGTTAGGGTGAAAAGGTTAAGCATTTGTTAGGAAAAAAAAATCGAAATAAAGGAAATAGCACGCGTCACTTCAGCAACCTTCTTTTCCTATTTCATATTTAATATTTTAACAGTGCTTCTCGCACTTCTCGAGTGTTCTTAAAAATTCCCAAGTGCTTAACGATGCTCGAGGAACAAGTTTTTTTTATTTCTTTTATAAAATGTATTGTGAATTTCTCGCGCTCGTACCGATGACGTAGGTTGCATTTATATCTCAACAGTGCACTCGTGTGACGTAAGGCGCGTGCTTTATGGAAATATAATGAACTCGTTCTGACCAATCACGGCGCGCGCATTTTTTTTGAACATTTTATCGTAACCAATCAAACTGCGTGTAGGATGCAGCTTATTATATAATTAGTAATTATTTATTTATTGAATTATTTATTTGCTTGTCTACTTTGTTTGGTATGCTCAGTTTACTTAAATCTATTTTCAGACTCTGTATTGGAATAAAGAAGTTACTCATGATGGCGGAAATGGCAGTTCAGGTACAGTTGCCCCTTTCGTGTCATCATTCAGATTTGTGGTGTTTGTTTACCTTTCTCGAGTTAAAAATGCCGTGTTTAATTGTAGAGAATGTGAACTAGCTGCTAAAGAAATTTTCAGTTGTGTCGAAAGTAATCTGAAGTCACTTTGTTTTAACTCTACTTCGCTACTTGATTGGTCCAGAAAACTCGCGCCACCCTATCAACCAATCAGATGCAAAACTAAATTCAATCACGACCTGGTCGCCTGCGTTTTCCCGCGCTTTGGCAGTTTGGTCGGTTTTACTTTCAGTTCTCTTTGGCTCTTGCTTTGGCTTTGGTTTTACGACACGTAATCGAAAAGCGCTCCAACAGCATATAGAGTAGTTTCAAAAATAAGCTTAAGAGAGTTTTAAAAAATGATTGTTCTGTTAGGAAATTATGACTGGAATATCGGGAACTGCTTTGGTTGTGATTCACTTCGCCCTGAAATCGGTCTAAAAACCTTTTACGCCCTAGCATCAGTTTTCATAATCTCTGTACTATTCTCTATAAGTTTCCTGAGGTTCTGACAAGGAGAATTTGTTTAACAATCAAGAACTTCTTTAGTTCGTGATCATTTCCTTTATTCTCGTGACCTTGATGTGTGATTAAAGGTGACTTTGAAAGGAGAAATTAGAAGCTGGTCACTCTAAGGGTTTAAACTAGTGAAATTTAAAACTAATGGTAATCGTAACTAGTTCACTCGTGTTTTTTCGCGTTTGAGTTTGGACAGATATTTTGTTATTTTGTTTTGATTGGCCAGGATGTTGAAGGTAAATTTGGTAGAGCATAAATACTCTTGTACTCTTATACTGAAACACAGATACGGATAGCTTAATTTTTTTTTCTTTGTTTCTTCGTTTAGACTGTCAAGCGGGACCGAGTTGATAAATTTGTATGTCTTCTGGAAGACGAAAACTGGTAAGTACTGATTCGCTAAATCTAGCGTATGCCAGCTTTGTTTTAATGGTAGCGTTTGAGGTTTCTTCTGGAATAAATTGGGCTATATATGTAAAGAATGTCTTTTCACAATTGGACTTTTCAAGCACTTTCAAAGTTAGTTGTCTTTATCAAGGCGTGGTCCTTCGTTTTTCAAAGCAAGCGAGGCAGTAGATTCAAAGTCTGAGAAAGTATCAACTGTAAGAGTGAATTTATTAAATTACTTGTGGCTACTATGGGCAAAGAAGAAATGTCATTTTGCCTGACGAGACATTAACGTATCCTCCAAAATGTGATGATCTTTACATGTTTTATTTCCAAGAGGCTGAAGTCAACCTTTTTTCTTATTGCAGCCTAAGAGGCCCACAGACATAATGCAAGACCATCAACAAAAATGAAACGACTGCAGGTTTGTTCAGTTATAGTTCTAGCTGGCTTTTAGCATGCATTATAGCCGTCTTACTGGGGCGAGTTAACGGTTCAAGCTAGCGGTTGTTAATCCAACCGGCCATGTTTGGTTCAGATTTTAAATGGACGGTGGGGGGAAGGGAGAGCGGTGATTGCTACTGCCCCACTTCTCCCCTCACCTTTCTTTTGAGCGTCGCTCACCTCCTTGATAAAAATTTATTTCTCCCCTGACTCCGCTGCTGTAAACATCGAATATGGCGGCTCTGATTTTCACCAAGAAAATACTGAGTACCCTCTCACCAAAATCACGCCCGTCCTGCAAGTTAGCTGGTTGAAATTTCACTAACTAACCTCGACTAATATTGTTAATTACCGGTGCCTTACCTCTTTGAGACCCAAAGGTGATTTTTTTCTCTTTTGATGTCACTCCTTTGTTTTGCAGATGCTTCTTGTTCCAAGCAATTCGAGAGTTAATTCTGTCCCACACTGAGGATCGAACCCTGTGCATGTGTAACATTTGATTCAGGACAGTCAGCTACAGCAGTTGAATAGCTCTCGTAAAGCGTGCTCTTCGATTAAGTGTCTTACAACCAAAACCAAAATCTTGTACAGACAACGAAATATCAAATCGGCGGGAAAACACGAAAAATCAAGTAGTGATTGGTTGGAAAGGTTGGCGAAAATTTCCAAGGCCAATCCCAGGGCGGAGTAAAGCTAAAACGAACCAATCCCGAATTGCTTTTGTTACTTAATTGAAAATTACTCTATTATAACTGTTAGAAAGAGAAACAAGTTAAAATTCGATTACTACACAGGAAGTGACCAGCCATCGACGCATATACCAACAAATTCAAATACATATTACATATTTCTTGGAAAACACTTTGCGTTGTATTTTGAAATTTTGAAATCTCTTACATAAAATTAAGGAGAAAGTAAGTGAAGCATGCAACTACGTACGATTTGTAAAATGCACTTTTATAGTTAAGTCTCTCTATAATCCGTAATTTTCTGATTTTAATCAAAGCGAGGTATAATTTGAATAGATTTTTGTGTCTGTGATAAATTTTACGGTGTTTACCTTGTCCTTACACTGGAGGAATGGAATCTCATCTCATCACTTTTAATATATACGATCTTCAGAGTTGATAGCTAGTAAGATATGCGAAAATAAGAAAATTTAATAGGTTTAGTAGCCCTAGTGATGGTGAAGTCAAATGCGACTTAATCTTGATTCTAAGTTGTCGATTAACTCTAATTAGTTGTTAAAATTTATGCGAATGCTACAATAAATTCCCTTTGAAATGATATTTTAACGGTCTTATGTGCGCATCTTGCTGCGTTTTACAACTGAACGAGCCGACTCACCGAACATTTTATTGAGAATGTTCAGGCCGCTCTCGGAAAGTCGGAAAACCAAGAGAATACAAATATATTCTGTTGAGAGAACCATCTGAATTGCAGATTATTTCTAAAATTAGTATTAACATTTTCGATAATTCTCGCACGTGGAAAGAGCTTATGAACCAGAAGACATTTCAGCGTCTTCTCCAGCTTCTCCCAGGCCAAGAAATATGCCTTTTCAACGTTATTACCTTGGGTATAGTCAGTTCTGTCAAGACCGGCTTGAGTTTCATCGTGACTGCAGAATCGAGGGCCTTTAGGATGTCTCTCTGATGCTAAATTTCTTTCGTTTGAATATGTTTTGAAGAGATGCAGTGTTCTTGTTGTCGTTGTTGCTACTTGAAAGTTAAACTAAAGACATTCGCATGGAGTAAGAGCCTGATACATGTAGAACAGTGTAAGAAAATTCTTCAATGCAAACCGCCATAGCAGTTGACTCATTAAACCACGTGACTTTAAGAGCGACAATATTTTATTATCAATACCTTGATCTCTTTTTTTCCTCATATCTCTCATTTTTTTCTCGACTTATTTTTGTACTACAAATATTTATTAACTTCCTTTTAACCTCGTTCAGTTTGCTCGGGCAGTACTGAGAAAACTTGGCTCTCGATCGTTCTTGTACGGACCGAGCTGAACTTGGTTCGTACAAAAACGACCCAGGCTTACTATTCTTTAGTACAGCTCGGGCAAGCGAGGTTAAAAGGTGTTTATGACTAACCGAAGACTAACCGAATTACATGGCACTCGAAGACTGACTCGAAGTCTGACCGAAGACTGACCGAAGACTGACCGAAGATTGACCGAAGATTGTCCGAAGATTGACCGAATTACATGGCACTCGGGCTAAACTTGCCGATTATGAATTTACCCACTTACGATAGCAAAACTTCGGGGCTTTTAATCGTTTCCGTGGAAGCGGTCCATATGGCAAAATCCTGACCAAGTAAGAACCAATCAGAAGGCAAGAATTTACCTCAAGACTACCTTGCCATATAACAACTTACCTTTATATTGGGTGAAACACTCTTGATATTTCCCTGACTCTCAATTTTCACTAAAAGAATAAATGAAAAGGTGATCGTACAAATGTTCTAAGGACTTCCCCTTATCGTAAATCTGGCGATGGACTAGGAGAGGGGGGTTTGGGTTTTAGTCCTAATGGGATCATTGTGCTTTGTTTTTCGAGCGAAACTCGACTGAGTGAGGTAAAAACCAAAACCAAAGTAATCACAACAGCCAATCAACGGAGAGGAAAATATCACAACGAAAAATATTTTTTGTATTTGTTTCCAAAAAAACAAATACACCTAGAACAAATATCTCCAAATATCTAAAGACAATATCTTTAGTTAAATATTCTTCCGTTTTGGAAATTTCCTTGTTTTTTTCTTTTTCTTTTTCTTTGGTTATTGTGATCAGTTCTGCGATTGGTGGATTTAGCAGAGTGGACCTAGTGTGATTGGCTGCTTCAACTGTCCGACTACAGGTGTCCGATTACAGCCAACTGTCCGATTACAACTGTACAGAATGATTAGTGAAAAGTGAAGCAGCTGATGCACCAATCACATTTGAGGAAATTGTAATTGTTATTATTATATAAGTAATTTTAAATTTATGAGTAAAAAAGAGTGGTATCGAATGGTCTGTGTGAGCATTTGCGAGCATGCGAGCAGTGTGTTTATTTTTGCGAGCATGCGAACAGTGTGTTTATTTTTGCGAGCACGAGCATTTGTCAAATTTTACTTGCAAGCAGCGAGCACTTTAGAAAAATACAGATGGCGAGCAGCGAGCGCTTAGAGTACTTCGTAAATTTTCCGCTGGCCGGAATCTCTCTTTTATTAATAGGATACGTTGTTTTGCGCCAAGTAATAGCTAATAATCTGGCTGACACCTCCAGAACAGAACAATAGGTGCAAAGCTAGGGCCAGCATCTTACAGCCAATTGTGCCCTGCTTGATGCCAAATTACGTCACGTAGCTTGACGTGAGTCAGTCGGGCTGGACGCTCAAGAACTTCAAGAGCTCTCAAGGAGACCTACCAGATCCAAAGCCTGCGATTTAAAGTTTTCCATATCTTTCTAACCTGTCGCTAAAATGGAAGGTATAGTTTTTTTGGTTATATAGTTCTTATGAAATGTAAATAACGTGACAGTCGGTCTAACAAGCATTTCGGACTTCGGTTTCAATGATCGACAAACTGGTTTCACGCTGATTGACTGAAAAAGATTCAACGCAATGAAACTTTATTTATTTGGAGGCTTCTAGAATCTAACCAATTACAGCCGTACAGATCTGACAAGCTCTAGTAGTAGCTCTGAAGGTCAAATAGTACTGGTAATAGTGGTATTTCTCTGGATTACTTTCTACCTTCGCGAGTGCCTTTCGAGAAAAATTCTAACATTTCGTGTTTCCACGCAACATGGAGATAAAGCTTCTAGACATGTCTCCTCGTTTGGCAAGGCCTTTAGTTTTTGATCAAAATAATTAAAGCAACATTTCATTCAAGAATTTTTCTTAGTCGGTGAAGCCCGAACGACCGAGGGTTGTTATTGATGTTATTTTGTTTAATCGGGTTTCATATGCCACCGTTATATTATAATAGATTATGATAGTTATTATTACTAGTGGCCAGGAAGCTTCCAAGGTTGAAAAAACCGCTACAAAATGCGATCCGAGTACACTGTTTCAAAATATTATGACTCCCACAATTTTATTTCCTATTGCCCACTGGAAAATCCATCATATCTACAAACCCTGATAATCTGCAGCTCGTGATAAAACCTGAATAGTGACCAAATAGTGCGAATAGTACGAATAGTCGCGAATAGTGACGAATAGTGACGAATAGAGGCGAATAGTGGCGAATAGTGGCAAATAGTGGTAAACAGTGTCGAATAGTGGCGAATAGTGACGAATAGTGACGAATAGTGTCGAACAGTGGCGAATAGCGGCGAATAGTGGCGAATAGTGGCGAATAGTGGCGAATAGTGGCGAATAGTCGCGAATAGTCGCGAATAGTGACGAATAGTGACGAAAAGTGACGAATAGTGGCAAACAGTGACGAGTAGTCGCGGATAGTGACGAATAGTAAAAATAAATGAATTAATAATGAAATTAAAATTTTTATTGTCTTATTTCATAGATTTTATAGATTTATTTTATCTCTACAAAGAGACATAAGGTAACACATGGACTGGACCATTGGACCCTTGGACTATTTTTTGGACTACTTTTTGGACCATTTTATCCGGGGGGGTGGGGGGGGGAGGCAGACCATTAGTACATAGGAAGGGATGGTAGGTAAACTGTTGTTACTGAGGGTGGGGCGGAGGACGAACTATTTATACGCAGGGAGGGGTGGGAGGTTCATGTTTTAGTAACTGTTACTGATTTATGGAGTGTTTATTGAATCAAACAAATTATTTTGAGCGGTTTTTCGATTGACTATTTGTATATCAAAATTTTGGCGCTGGGCCGTATCGTTTCTTTAATTTTTTGTCACGCGAATGCGAAACTGGCACCTAAACACTGGACTATAATTGTTATTGGAAATATCGCCAATTCCTGTTTTCGATCCTCCACTGTTAAATCATGCGTGTGCCTGTTAAGTCGAATTGTGCCAGTGCCAAATGATACTCGCGGGTTAGCATGAATCATCTGTCAGTTGCCTCACGTTTCCCTTTTTGTGTGAAACAAAAAAAGCGAAGAAAAAGCGCGATGTCTCTATAAGTGGTTTCACGACATGGGGTGTAATCTAGCTGTCAGTAAAACTCTCAGACAGTAAAATTTTCCGGGCAGAGTTGGTCACAGTTACTGACTTCTACGCGATTTCCGGTGTCGGTGAGTAACTCTTTTGTTTACGACACGGTAAGTAGTACCGCTATCTATTTATTTCAGAATGATAATTTACATGATTAAAACACAATTCGATGTAATTTAAAAGTTCATATTACGTACATTTGTGAACATAGATAACTAGTTTTGTTTTGTGTCATGTTCTGATCATAAACAGGTTGTTTAACACAGAAATAAACTTTCTAATGAAATATTTCCTTAGCATACTCGACAAGACAATAGAACAAATAAATAAAAAAACGTATTTGCATCATGAAACAATTCATGAATGGTTCTCTGTCATGCAGTCATGCAGTCCTACTGAATCATGATGTAAACAGAAACAGGGCTTTTAATTTCTCGTACATACTCTAAATAACTTGCATATATACCTATTTCCAAACCCTTGCGCTTCACTTTACTGACATACCAGAATCTGGAAGTTCCTATTTCGAAACTGGTTTTAAAATCATTTTCATGCTATTGGCGTTGTACCCGGCAACGAATCCGATGTCAGATTTCAGATCTTGGACCTTTTGAAATAGGTTTATATATACATAAGAAGCGATATTAGCCATGCAGTCATATTAAAACCGATTTTAAATTACTGCAGGCAAACGTTCATAGATGAGACGGCAGCCAATATTTTAAACTATATTAGATTCAAATCCAGAGCTTTATAAATAATTTTTGCTCCTTAAATCTATGAAATAGAGCAATAAATATTTTTTTTTGTTTCATTATTAATTCATTTATTTTTACTATTCGTCACTATTCGCGACTATTCGCCACTATTCGCCACTATTTGTCACTATTCGTCACTATTCGTCACTGTTCGCGACTATTCGCACTATTCGGTCGTTAAGATCAACAAAGGTTCGCAAGTAATGTTGTCTCTACAGGATATTATGTCACCTCCCGTCATGTCGAGCCTCCTCTTAACTATATCAGAATTTTCCTGGTAGACAGATCGTGTTGCAGTCATCACGTTTTCTTGTTCAAGCGAAAGAAGGTTTGAGTCATTGGGTAAATTACTAAACTGGTCAAACAAC